AGTTCAAGTATTTATAAAACCATAGCCATACTTTCGATAGATGAGTTATTTGTTGAAATCAGTGCGGGCTCTACCAGCACTGATTTAATAATAAGTGCGTATTCCTACAGTGGATGGATCACTACAGTTTTCTCTTAACTATGTCTGTTAAGGAATATATAATAATTAGTTGATATCATTATTCTTTAGTACGACCTAAGTTAAGTAGTTTAAGAGAAACTCTTATATATGTCCTCCACGTGGACAAGCTATATTCTAACAGACCTTTCTCTGCCATCAAGGTTTCAGTCCGCTGTACGTCGCGTCACGTCAATCCGACAGCAGAGCGTGCAACAGCATGTCCCACATCGACAGTTTCACAAAAGCTGAGGTTGACGAGGTCGCCAGATGACCATCTCGCGTGAAAGTGTTCTCGATACCTTCACTTGTTGTTTACAAATTAGTATCGGCCCGTAATGGAGTTATATCTCCAGTACCTCGGAACATCACGACTTTAACTATCTGATTTCGTGTTAAAACATCATTGTCGTGTCACACAAAAGAATATCAACCGATACCATGAATGTAATGAAATTTATAGAATTTGTCAACCTTTTCTATGGCTGTTTATTGATTTATCGAACCAATAACTATGCAATTGATAATTCGCGATATTTACCTATAGCGGAGGAAGTATTGTGCCGTTGCAAGTTCAGTGATTGCAGTTTGATAAGTTCTTCAGGATGACAATTTCCGAATGTATCAGTATGTTTGTTGTGCGGAGTGGGAACAAATAACGTCACGGTATATTTTAGTAAGGCCAGTCATGATTGTAATTGCGTCCTACACAACGCTCCCAATTCTGAGAACTAGGACGAGCCGTGGCAATGCGGCGCTGGACAGATGGTGCGCCGCGGCGGATCTCTATCACACACCGAAATATTGTAGTATTCTCTATCAAACTCTGTACTTATATTATTAAGAGAAATAGTTTTTGAATGTTGGCATTGAACAGGCTCTGACATTACTAGGCATACACATACCATAATGGTGATACAGGTTGGTGTACGTGCGGCACGGGGGCACGGGAGCGGACTGCCTGGCGGCGGGCGCCTGCACTAATTCAATTAACCTATTGAAATGGACTAATAAAACTGCTATACACGTAGTTTTAATTGAACGCGCGGCCGAAGCCGATTGAGTAATTTACTTGTGTAGAGTAACCTGGACTCCCCATTGTGCAACTCTAAGACACGGGAGGAAATAAATTCCCATTGGTATACACAATTACACAGGCAGAGTGCCTGGGGTATGGCGGAATGTCGCATCAGTGTAGCTGGGACTGACGCGGTGGTGCTGCATAGCGTATGTTAATCTTGGTTTATTGTTGTACGGGTGTATAGAACACTGCAACGCTAGGCAGCAAGCACCGCATGTACGCTAGCGCATTCCTCGTCGCAAATTAGCGCGGCGGCGGCGGCGCCACAGATAACCTATCTCAATAGAGCGCCCTACGTATGGTATTCCAGGAGCTGGCGCGGCGCCAACTCGCCGCTATATTTATAACGCACAAACTCCACGGAATTCCGAAAAACGCTTTTGACTATACGCGGCTGTGGCGCGCGCTTGTGTGCACTCGACAAATGGATGAATTTGTTTTATACCACCGAGATTCCAATTGAGGTTACAATATTACACTTACAGATATGAATATAATGGGAAAGTTGTTCCATAAGGATCTCTTTTCCTTTCAAAGTACAAACCACGAAAAACGATAATTGATGTACCAACTTCTACATCCTACCTCAGTCATCGCAAAAGTGCCAAATTGAATTTGTAAATACATATCTGAATAGATTCAGGTGTTTCACTCATTATGACCATATGGGAAGATATATTCGCATTAAGCTGTATTTCTACTGTATGGCTACGGAACTATAATCTGCGCAACAACTAACTTCTGGAGAGTTCGTTTTAAATAGCGCGGTTCTATCTGAGTAATATATAAGTCACCTCCTAAGTAACTCCTAGGTATGGGTCGAGTTAATAAGCCACGTGCCGGACAGTGGGGCCGCACAGCTGCTCCGCTGCGCTCGCTGACCCCAATGGGTCACAGATCCAGGCGGCTCGCGTCGCGGCTCGTGCCGTACCCACACACTGGGCTCTTTATCTCAGCAATCACATGCGAGTAGAACCGTATCCTTTGTTACGAAGTAATGTGATTCTAACTAACACTTGAGTTCTTAATCGCAATCCAGCCAGTTCTACAAAAATAGATATATCTTTGAGAACATTACTGTGAACAGTTATGTGATACTCCGCTGGTAAAGGAGCAGACGGATTACCTGATGCTAAGCACTCAACCAACACTCCAGGAGTCGCAAGTGCGTTGCCGGCCTTTTAGGGGTAAGAGGTTTCGGGGATTGTAAAAAGAAGGCGGGTGGAGGATTTTTTGAGTCTTCCGGTAACCTCACTGATACCGCACTACTCAACGCTGCGTTTGTGTCACGCCGTTTTTTTAAGAATTAGTCGAGCCATTCCATTATTATTCAAGTTTGTTTTCTCAGTTTTCGAACTGAGACAATCCTTACGCATTGAGCCCATTCACACTTGTTATGAAATGGTAATTGTAATTTTTAGTAAACAGGCTTTATATCGATTAGCTGGCTTTGTAGAGTTTGTGGTATCATTCCGGTTCAGTCGGCCCATTCATGTTGCAGCATGGTTCTCTCACACTTTTATTTTGTTGAGTTATCAGCTAGTGCTCAAAGAAGCGGTCGTACAAATATCATTGTTGTCGTCAGAATCAACCTTACTATATAACTTGTGGAGTAATCCATGGACAAAATGCCCCCGGTGTATGTGTACTGCTCGAAGTGGTTGCTTTTCGGAGTTATGCCACGAACAACTCACTGAATGGATCACTCAATACGAGTAATGATAGGTACCTACAACAGAGATGGCTGCACTCATGAACTGCATGTTTCAGTCTTTAGCTAGGCATAGTAGGCGCTCCCACAACACATTGTTGTCTTCCACTTGTATTTTAATAAAAACAAATTAAATTTGGCTTCCAATTAACCTCCAATTACTGAATAATTATTTAGAACTAAAATTAATAAATCCAATCTTTGGAATGGCCGGATTGATCTGGATGACATTTAGCACAAGCATAGGATACACTCCGGAATAGGACAAAAGCTACTTTTTATCAACATACTACTAGTTTTAATTTATTTTGAATTCAGCAAATCGTTTTTCGAGCCGATGGGCAGGCGCGATGATGAGAATGATAAGAAGAAATGAGGTGGTTTAAAGTTAGGCAGAAATAAATGAATTTTTAGGCAAAACAAAGAATGACACTCCCTCTCGCCCAGGACAGGTCAAGTTGTTTGATAATTCGTCCCTCCTCCTAGCAAAAATACGGAATCTGACCGTGGATTCTGTGGACTTAGTGCATCTGCTTGTCATTGCTATCGTAGGAAGATATTAACAGTAACGTTGAAAGCATTTTTAATGGAGCTCTTGGTAAGTGTAGAAATAGCGTAGGTGTGACTTAAATTATAATATAGTCGTAAGCAGTCGGCGTCGCTGCGTCTGGCCGCGCCCGCCATGCGGCAGTGCGTGCCGCTGCATCCGTATCCGCGACTATCCCCCGCAGCGCGCAGCTCACACTAGTCGCCCTGCCCGAGGGTCTGCTGTGCTTGCACCCACGCCGTTTCACATTATTCTCATTTATAACTATTGCACCACATTTATTATGGCTAGGTTTATTATCTTACAATTGCTTCTAAGGATTATAATATTAACTAACTTTTGACCGCGACCACGTTTGCGTGGAATAGTGTCGTCCTGCAGATTTTTGGTATAAAAACTATCCTATGTCCTTTTTAGAGTTCCAAACTATGTCTGTACTAAATTTCACAGAAATCGGTTCTGTAGTTTAGGCGTGGAGATAAGACAAACAGACAGAGTTACTTTCGCATTTTTAATATTAGTTGGCAAAAGTTGGAGGATATCCGACTCTGTACAGACTATAGACACTTGCAACCTCTTCACACATACGAGGAAATCATTACGTTGATATTTTTTAATTCGGGCGTCTAGAGAGACAGAGACCTGTGATTGTATCCTGCTCACGCAAAATATATCAAAAGGCTATTTGTCAACACTAGCAGGGTCAAGTGAATCGCTTTATTTGTGCAATTTACATATGTACCAACGAATTATAGTTTATTTTAACACCTCCCCTGCGTATCTCAGCTCGAAATAATGTGTAATGTTTGTTACGGTAATTCGTCTGTTACAGTAATGTAAAAAACTTCGAGTGCACTTGTAGTGAATGAAGAATAAATAAACGAAAGTAAGAGTTTTAATTGTAAAGTGACATTACAGTGTGATTATCTCACTAACTCCAAACTTTATGCTAGTTAAGCGTCCACTTGCTAACTAGACTAGGCTCGCATTTATTATTACTAGCTTATAATGTCCCACTGCTGGGCAAAGACCTCCCCATCGCGCTTCCATACCTCCCGATCTTTCGACTTTCGACCGTGTCCACCAGTCTCGACAGTAGGCGCCTAGGTCGTCACGCCATCTTTTCTTGGGCCTACCTCGCCTGCGAAGTCCATCCTGAGGTGTCCACTTGGTGCCAATAGTGGCCCATCTCCCCGGATACATTCGGCTGACGCATCCGGCCCAGTTCCGTTTTGGCCCACATCAGCGACTCCTGTTTTGGAACGTATCACGGTATTCCGTATGTGATCGGTCCGTTGAATGTTTAACAGTCTACGTTCCATTGCCTTTTTGCAAACCCTGATCCTGGACTTCTGACACTCGATGAGAGGCCAGATTTGCGCACCGTACGTTAGGGCAAGCAAGATACACATACAAGAGTCACTATTAAACTATGAAATTAAATAGTGAGACATGATTATTCTTGTAAAGTAACGATTTTTGAATTAATTTATTTTAGTAGATATAAAAATGTTTTTTTGTTCATATTACAATTTCGGTTGCAGGCAAGGTGGTGTGCGCGTCGTGCGGCGGCAAGTGCAGCGGCGAGGTGCTGCGCGTGTCGGACAAGTACTTCCACACGGCGTGCTTCACGTGCCGCACCTGCGCCGCGTCGCTGGCGCGCGGCGGCTTCTTCTGCAAGGACGGCCACTACTACTGCCCGCAGGACTACCAGCGCGCCTTCGGCACGCGCTGCGCCGCCTGCAGCCAGTACGTCGAGGGCGAGGTCGTCTCCGCGCTCGGCAACACCTACCACCAGAAGTGCTTCACCTGCGCGCGCTGCAAGTCAGTACTCACTACTGCTCTACCTGCTTAGCCTGCCAAGCAATAAATTGTGGATGGATGGGGAGAGGGGATTGGGCCTCTTGTATCTGCACTTACATGAGGCAAGCGTTGCTTCATGTCTGGTTTATCTTAGGCTGGGGCAGTGTCACTCCGGTCGAGCCGGCCCATTAGGGTAAACTTGCCTAATTCGTACCACTTAAGGAGAAAATCGAAAATTTTGAAAATGAACAATGATACACAGTTATTTATATTAAGTAGTTATAATTAAACTAATGTTCTATTAGTATTCCGATAAAAAATAACATAAATCTTATAAACTTCTGAGAAATAAACAATTTTCAAAAACTTAAAAAAAGTACGATTTAAGACCATTGTTCTTAAATCGTACCAGTATATTCTTAAATCGTACTTTGAGATCCTATCATTGTTTTACAGTCTTAAAAATGACAATATTAATAATCTTCTTCTTGTTTTAATCTTAATGTACCTAGATTACCTAATTCTTATTAATACAGCGGATGGTTTTTTCTAAATCTTGAAAGTCATCGCAGTAATAAAATTTAGTTTTTTTAATTCGTCTTGCAAATAGCTCATGTACCCATACTTCACAATTACTGCATAAAATAATGTTTTTTTTAGTTTTATTAAATAAAAACACAAACTAAAAAATAATCAAGTAAGTAATTAATATTTACTGTGATATCAAACATTGTTTTCGAATTTCGAAATTGAATTAGGCACAAGTATCAAATGAATTTCAAATTAGCCGCAAAAAAAACTATCAACGAACAAGCCGGCTTTACCATGTGAAATATATTCACAAATATACGTATAAATATATAATAAACAGTTAAACAACTTATGAACGGTATACTTGGAAGAAAGTTCTTGTGAAGTATGAAAAAAAATTACTCAAAAAGTGAGAAAAAGTGAAAAAAAACTTACCCTTTCAATATTTTTGTCGGGAGCAACGTAACAGGTGTTTATTTGTCATATGGCAATCTGGCCGACTATTATTGACATTTTATGCCATCAGAGGCGTTGGTAACTATTACCCATGCCGAGATATAGACGAGGTACGATTTAGGCGCAGGTACGAATTAAGCAAGTTTACCTATATTGTCGAACCATGTCATATGCATTATACGTGGCCTCGCTCCGCCAATGGTAACTAGTAACCGGGTTGAGTAGTACCTACACAACATGTTATTCCGTATGAAATTCATAGAAACTTATTTGTTTCTTGCATTTGAAGCAGAATATGTTGTAGTAGACAAGTTGGCAGTTTGTCAGACGTCGTCGTGCCGACGATGCACCTGTCGAGTAATGTGAATGTTGTGTTCCAGACGCGCGTTCCCGTCGGGTGAGAAGGTGACGTACACGGGCGCGGAGGTGGTGTGCTCGAGCTGCGTGGCGGCGCCCGTGCGGCAGACGGCGCGTGCCGCCACGGCGCTCGATGCGCCGCGCGCGCCCTCCGCCACGCCCGGCACGCCTTCCGCGCCCGCCACGCCCGCCACGCCGGCACACCACGACCAGAACGGTAGCTATCACCCCTTGAGCCTTGCTGGCGCGCCCGCAGTGTCCCTCACTGACACGCCTCGTTGTGGTTTCAGAGTGCGCGGGCTGCGGGCAGGAGCTGTCGGAGGGCCAGGCGCTGGTGGCACTGGACAGGTAAGCAGTGTGCGTGCGTGAGTGTGTGTGAGAGGGCTAGGAGCTGTGAGTGACGCGAGGGTTGTGCAGACAGTGGCACACGTGGTGCTTCGCGTGCGGGGAGTGCGGCGCCGTGCTGCAGGGCGAGTACATGGGCCGCGGCGGCGTGCCCTACTGCGAGCGCGACTACCAGCGCCTCTACGGCGTGCGCTGCGCCTACTGCCAGCGGTACATCTCGGGGAAAGTGCTGCAGGTACCCACTACATTATATATGCGAGTATCTATTGCGTTTCAGTAAGGCGCTAGTGTTGCATTTTTACATCCCACTGATCACCATAAATTAAGTTGTGTAAAATAACTCTACTCGATTACAGTTAAAATTGATAACCGTTGTAAATTTACTATCTCTGGATCGATTAATGCAAATTCGATACAAGTAATAACAAAAATCGATCGAGATTGGTTTTTAATTGCTGGTAACATTTTGCATCATGTAAGTATTGAATCGTATTAGTTGAATAGAAAGGAGGTGTCATTGCTTGGCACTGTTTGCAGGCGGGCGACAACCACCACTTCCACCCGACCTGCGCGCGCTGCAGCAAGTGCGGGGACCCGTTCGGGGACGGCGAGGAGATGTTCCTGCAGGGCGCCGCCATCTGGCACCCGCGCTGCGGGCCGGCGCCGCGCGACCCCGCCGCCGACCTCGACGACCCCGCCACCGACCGCGCCTCCGCGGACCTACAGGTCACACACACCACACACTCTCCTATTTACAATTATGTCTCAAATTCAAATACAGATCCAGGCCTTTATGGTCAATTGGAAACTATGCTATCTGTCCCACTATTGGGGGAATGGCATCTCCTTACATAGAAAAGGAACACTACGATACTGTCAAAAGGCAATTTTTTAGTTTTTTTTATTAATTTACAATTTCCACGGACTCGGGGTCCGTGCACTTGTCATACAATTCTTCTAGTTTTGCTTGTTACACACCCACACATGTAGACACACTCCCGTACATTGCACAGCGACCCCATTCGGTCTCCTCGCACAGGTCGATGTAGGTGATGCGGTGACGTCACAACACATTCCTTCCCATACATAAAGTGTTAAGTAAACATTCTGTGTGCTCACTGAGCCTGAGAGTGGTATGAAGTCAATGTTATAATCACATCACGTTATACAAAAAAACAAACACGGGACGCGACCATAGACTATGAGTTATTCAGTTGTTGCTCACGTATCTGTTTATGGGTGAATATGTGTATGAGCCCCATGCACGAGTTGAAACTAGTCGAGTTCCCCGTAAACGGTGACGTGAATAAATAATGAAGTAATAATTCTCATTAATTTGTGATGAAATTAAACTTACACGCCTGGAGATGGGGCCGACCTGTGCCCGGGGAGCGATAGGGTGCGAACATAACATAGCAGTAACTGAAATATTTCAATTGTTTAAGATCTTGCATAAAACCTAGATGCTTCATAATGCGTTTCTTTTTCATTAATAATTATTATGTTTTTGTAAAATGAATGCGTCCAATGTCCCCCCCTCTCCCCCTCCCCACCCCCTCCATCCCGCGTCCCCCGGAGTAGTAGTGTCGTGGTCTGTAGCTGCCTGCTTGTTGTCACCAGTTCTCGCTGCGCTCGCGCACGCCCAGCGTCAACGGCTCCTACTGCAGCCCCTACAGTAGCTTGACCAGGAAGGTCCGTCACATTCTTTTTTATTATTTTATTATTGTTTTATTCATGTCGTGTGCTCTTGAAGTGTTACATGCTTTGTCTAAACAGTACTCGACTTACAACTACAACATATGACTCGCTTCAAGGGCACATGTTGCTTTACTTTGAGTTGGACATTACACGTTCACTGGTTTCGTTGTTGTTACTATTATTTGCATAATTTGATTGCCTGCGGCCGAGCGAGCACGAGTCGGCAAGCCCCACAGTTGGCGTGCAGTAGTAGTATAGTGTATGACGAGGCTGGGCTTGCAGTACGGGTACCGCGCGGTGTCGCCGGGGCTGGTGCTGCGCGAGTACCGCGACGCGGGCGCGGTGTCCCCGCACCGCATCACGACGTACTCGTACCTGACGAGCGAGCCCAGCTACCTGCGGCGCCCGCTGCAGCCCTACGACCGCGCGCCCGCGTCCCCGCACTTCCACCGCCCGCCGTCGGGCGGCTCGCGCGCCTCGTCCCGCGCCGGCGCCGCCAGCAAGGCGTCGTCGCGCCCCGCCATGCGCGCGCTGGTCGACTCCATCCGCGGGGACACGCCGCGCCCCAAGTCCCCGCACATGAACAACGAGGAGCCCATCGAGCTCTCGCACTACCCCGCCGCCTACAAGCCGCCGCCCGGCACCAAGCCCAAGATCGAGCGCGACGACTTCCCCGCGCCGCCCTACCCCTACACCGACCCAGGTCTGTTGCTCCTCACATTGTGTATACTACTACATGTACTTTAATATCCTAGTACACAGTCAGGTAGCTCACTGCACCCGATTTAAATTGTCAATGGTTGACATTACCTCAACCATCCTATTAATAGTAGACAATGACATTATTAGTTCTAGTTGTATGCTTGTTAGTATGGTTAAGTAGAGATGTTACAACGATCTGAGACCCCTCATTAGTCCAATGTCTTGAATAATGTCTAAGTCCCGCTTCCCCTTCGTTGCAGAGCGGCGCCGGCGCTGGTCCGACACGTACAAGGGCGTGGCCGACAGTGACGACGAGGGGGACGGCAAGGTGAACGGGAAGGTCAACGGGAACGGAGACATCGACCCCAAGCTGCGCAGGGAGGAACACGAGCTCTCCAAGATAGAGTCCGGCATCGCACAGGTACAGTGTACACACTGCTGGTAGGACGGGGCCGCGGCCTCACCGAGACACGAGTGTAACGTGGCGCGCCGCGTGTTGCAGGTGTTCCTGAAGGAAGTCAAGGAGCGCGAGAAGCTGCAGCAGTGGAAGAAACAGAACCTCGACCCCCGCAACGCCAGCAGGTGAGGCGGCGCCCCGCGAGGTCGGGTGGGGGGGGGGGGCGCAGTACTAGCGTGTGGTGTGTTGCAGGACGCCGTCGGCGTCGCGCGAGCCGCTGCCGCGCCTGCGCTACTCGTCGCCGGTGGGCGCGTCGCCGTCGCGCTCGCTGGAGGCGCGCCCGCACGAGCCCGACGCGCTGGACGCGCCCGTGCCCTGCTACAACGGTACGTGCCGCCGCCGCGCACTCCCTCCCACTAACCCCTCCCTACCCTCTGTACTCACGGCGGGGGCGCCGCCCGGAGCCGCTTCTTGCTGCTTGTCTTTGTCTTGTCGCCTCGACGTACTTCTCTCTGCATGCTCTGCATGACGCACTCCAACTTGATACTTACACACGACTAAACACCTTTTTCCTATATAGACACGTATCTTGTATGTATGTGTGCATGAGTGTAGTATTATTTATTACTTGATGATTATACGCCACTAATCCCGCTCCAGGACCATTGCCGGCTAAGGTCTGGTCGCGGAGGCTCCCCAACCTCGAATTGTGCGCCTGAAGCGCCCTACGAACTCTCCGTCCGCTTGCCTAACAATCGTGTTGCTTGACGAGATGAGAAAACTATTCGAGAAAATAATCTCGCACCGCCTCGTCGGGCACCTGACGGGAAGGGAGCTGGACCCTGACAACGGCCAGGACCTTCGTGGCGGTCGGTCACGCCGCCTCCGATTGGGTCCCAAATAAGGCGGGAGGGGTTACCATCGGTGTCGAGTCGGCAAAGTACCTGGGTCCTGTCCTCAACAGCCGGTGGCACTTTGCGAACTTCGACGTTAGGCTGTCAAGTTTAAAAGGACTGGGACCGCGCTCAAGCGGCTCTTTCCCAACCTGGGGCAAGAGGCGTTTAGAGGCCGGAGGTTGCATACAATACGTGCGACCCGTGGGCTACAGGGCCCGTAGATCATCCGCAGCTGTCGCAGGATCTCCGGAGAGATGGCCGGCCATTGCCAGATCACCACCATGGGATCTGGAGGCGATGGCGTCAATAGCCTGCCGACACGCGTCGCCGGGGCGAAACTCCACTACCGCACCAGTTTGGTGCGTAGCGGAATGAGCTCCATGGCGATCTCGTGGCAGTGTAGAAGCAACATGTATCGCAACCGAGGGCCGGGCACGCTGTTATAGCAACTGTAAACTATGAGCAGTGGCTAGAGATGCCATAACATTCTGTGTTGTCAATGTCAATGGGGCCGACCTGGAGGACACGGTAACGGTGTACTCTGCAAGAGAAAGCAAAAGTAGCTCGCCGCCCGACCAGACCCAGACCTGAGCATACGGCGCGTAGCATTTCGCTCGTGCCTCTAAGAGCCAATAAACCATCACAGACGGGGGCAGAGAAGGCATTCGATGATTGATCTCCCCCAAAAAAGCTGGTTATTATAAACCAACCGACTTAAACACGAGATGTTTCGTTACATTAGTCTTAAAAACGTCCCACTATCGGAGAGTTCTCCTTGTTATTAGTATTACAAAATAGTACTGGTATATTTGGAGAGAACATATCGAGTGAGCCTTACTCGGGGATTCATAGGAACAGGTACTTATTATAAAAGACTGCATGTGGCAATATGTTGCCGACTAAGCGGCATCCACGCCGAGTAGAAGCATGTTCTAGTTGGAGGGATCGCCCTTCCCCCCCCCCCCTCCCCGCGGTTTCCTTCGCTTCACTCACACCTTTGATTGAACACTATATCGACAAGCTTTGTTAACATTGCACCCTGCGACAGTAACCCGCCACACACAACCACTGCACATTATTTGTACACCTGGGAAAACTGCACTACATCTCAAGTCACCTGTACTAACATTGCAATGAGGATTTCGTTATGGTCTATTTGATGGTGAATTGATGATGCTAATAATAATTCAGACATTGAACAGGCGATTGTCAGCCTACAGATATTAAAATAACATTGAAATCTTTATATAGTTGAATATAATTATGTACTTGAATTTAATTAATTTGCCTTTTCCTCTCCCTAACGTTGCTGTGCCCGACAGGGCCGTAATACTTACAAACGGAATCCAGTAAACGATTGAGTATTGAGATACAGTTACACTCGTGTATATATGGCCTGCGTCCTCATAAAGGCTCTTTATTGCCTCGTGCAGGCAGTCTCTCATTTTGTATATCTTGCAACACTACGTACATGAATTGCATTTGTGTATGAGTTTTAAGACGTTTGTATGACAATCCGAGCCACGCGCCACGGGTTGAATACTCCGCACTTAGTGTGAATGTTGCTTCTTTTTATGTTGACTTAGTAATACAAGGTGTTTCAATACAAGGTTTAAAATATGTCAATTACATAAATACTTTGAACATTCGGGGTGCAAGCTAATTTACAAAAACTGCCTTAAACTGCTCACCGCAGTTTGCCGAGTGTGCTTTGTAAGGGTTTCCATTTTATGAGAAACATTTGATTACTTAGTAAGGTAAAGGAATGTAAAGTTTGTGTATGAGACACCTCGTATTTATGGATGTTTGTGCCTACATGTAGTCGTTAAGACGCACGCAGTCCTGCGGCAGTCCCGCGCGGAGTGTGTGTGTGTTGCATGTGTCGTTGTGTGTGTAGTGCGGCCCGGCTCCGGCCTGCGCTCCGCCACGCTGCCCGCCGCGCTCGGCCGCCCCCGCCACGTAAGTACGCCCCCCCCCAGCCCTCCCCCCTAGAGTGCGCAGGCGGCGGCTACAGATGCAGTGTTGCAGTGGTGTCGTCGCTGCGTGCCGCGCCGCGCCCGGGCTACGGACTGGCGCCTCGATCACACACCTTCTCCTCCTCCACCGCCGTGAGTACGCGACGCCTCACTTCACACTTTCATTACGTTTAACTCATACCACGCCTACATAACATCCAACACACAACAATACGCCTACGTTGTGTCTGACACACAGCACAATACGCCTACGTTGTGTCTCACTCCAGTACACGTCTACACCTCGCCACGTCACATCCACATGTGATGCTTTAGTGGCAAAGTTATTCATATGACATATTCAGGCTTTGATAAATTCTACAAATTTACAAGCAAACATTTATATTGTAATAAACAAACAATCTGTTGGCTTATACTAGTTCCTGCTAGCGGCTTCATCCGAGTTACTGGGGTGGCAGGGGTAGCCTGTGTTGCCAGGCTATATCTGTGCCACCTTTTAGTAAAATATATTAATTTTATTTATTTATTTCACCAGATAACAATTGATTCATCTTGGTTAGTAACAATAACAAACTTATAAACTATTAGTATATACTTTAAACATGAAAACAAGGAAGTTAACATTCAGTAATTTTACAATACCCATTCATGCTTATTCTATTTATTAAAATACCTAAATGTCCAAAAATGCACTGCACTCCATACAAAAATAAATAAAGGGCCGTTAGCTTGCTATTGTCAGAAACAACTATGTAATGTATTCTAAAGATTCTTTATAAAATGGGATACGTGGCGAACAATCGACTGCTCGTCTGATGGTAAGCGATCACTGCCGGACGTTGTACCCAGGAAAGCAAGTAACAAATATTTGCATAATTAGAAAATATGTTATTGTAGAAACAGTGAAGCGGTACTCGAGGGAGATTTAGCTGACATACACAGCTACTTAATTTCTGCCTCTTGAATGTTGTACACGTCAGCTGGTGACCGCCCCGCGGGGGCTGGCGGGGGCTGGCGGGGGCGAGTGGCCAGCGACTGTCTGTGTGTTGTAGGGGGACTTCACGTTCAGCGGGATGGGAGACAAGACGCATAGCACCGACTTCAGCAGCGGCAAGTCAGACAGTGAGTACGGTACTCTACCGGTAGTCGACGTGGCCCATTCTTTATTGTATTACATTGTATTGCTGTTTCACTACCTCGACCGTCGAAGGGTGTCGGGTTCGATTCCTGGCTCGGGCAAATTATTATTGGGGTTTTCGGTTTTTCATAATTTCTTAGTAATTGTGCCCGGTTTATAAGTATATTGGTTAACATATTACACGGGACTTATAAAATAACTTGTCAGAAGTAGGCGTACGTTGTTTAATATACAGGGTGTAAAAAGACACTTAACGAAGCCGTTAACTACGCATACTGCAGTTCTAACTAAATAGCTTTACGCTAAAATTATCACTGGGAAACGACTTTAATTTTTAGGTACCAAAAAAAAAAAATATTGCGCGCAATGTAAGCAAACGGGCTTCGTGTCATTGTGTGCGTAGGTTCACAGCTTAGCATTTAAAGCTGTGATAGAAAGAAAGAAGAAAGGAAATAAATACTAAAAAGGAAGGAAATACTGAGATGCACGATGTTTTTTGTGCGTTTCTGCATTTAATTATTACGTACATTACTGTTCGTAACTTCAAATGCGTAATTTATTTAGAAAAATCGAAAATTCAGGTAATGTTTGTTTGGAAAAAAGTTTTGTAATTATACTTAGAATTCGATTGCGCAAAAAAATATATTTAAAAATGCATCTTTGACCTTCAATATCTCGGGAACCCTGAGACTTCACGTCTCAGCTATGGTCTAGAAAAAAATGATCCAAATAATGGGTAGAATACGTGGCTTTCGGCTTCGTTAAGTGTCTTTTTAAACGCTGTATGTGACGTCGTCTGCAATCTGCAATAAGTGACAAATGGGGAATGTTGTTTGTATGTGTGCGTAGTGCATCTATATTTGTTCTGTAACCTGCATACGTGACGTGACTAACATTTGTAACACTAGCAGCGCCCCTGCATGCGAGTGCGGCGCCACTGCGCGCCGTGCAGTGTGTAGTACATGTCCTTGTGGGCGGTAGAGGGTAACCATGGACCTTGTGCCAGATTGTTGATACATTTCCCTCGCGACTATAATGTAGCGCTGGGCGCGGCCGCGGCGCCTGGCGCGCCGGGCCCGCGGCCGCGCGACCAGCGCCCTCACTGTGTCTTTGTTGTGCGCGGCGCGACCCAGTGCGGACGGAGCTCTGCAGTAAGTGGCGCCTCCTCACTGCCCCCCCTCCCCCCTCCCTGCCCCGCCACCGCTGTCGCCTGCCGCCACGCTCCGCATCAGTCACCCTCTCGTGCTTGCCTCAGGCGACCCTCCCCCGCCACTCGCCAGCCGTGGCTAGGCTTGAAGTGTCGCGGTGTCGCTGGTCGCTTGCCTCCGTGCCCGAACCTCCCACACACACACTCGCGCGCTCATTGCCTGCTAGCTGCAGTCGTGTCCAGTAGTGGGGAGTACAGGCCGCTAATATAATGTTGTTATCGTTACAGTATCTGCCGGCTCCATTACTGATGTGGATCGAAGTGCTGTGGTGAGTGTTGCTGCCTCCTCTACTCTTACATCCAGTGCATGACAGCGTGCTGTACTCGCGTATACCGCGGCAGCACCTAGTCCACTAGTACTATTATTCATTACCATAATAATTCATTGCCTCGGTTCTCTTGAACCGGACAGAGTATTATTTCTGCCAGAAGACCAATTCATTACCTTGCTGATTGCGAACTGCGCGGAACTGCGCTACTCCAAAGAATTTTCCAATCGATTCTTGTGGCAAGCAGCATATTTTGTTTCCGCAGACGACGGACGGCGGCGTAGCGGCACGCGGCGTGGCGCGCGCGGCGGGCAGCGTGGCGGGCAGCGTGGCGGGGCGCTACGCCAGCGTGGCGGGCGCGACGGTAGCGACGGGCGCGGGCGGCGGGGCGGGCGTGCGGCGGTCGCTGCCCAACATGGCGACGTCGCACCTGCTGCACGAGCCGGCCAAGCTCTACCCCTACCACCTGCTGCTCATCACCAACTACCGCCTGCCGCCGGACGTCGACCGCCTCAACCTCGAGGTGAGCCCCGTCCCCGCCGGACTCGGTGTCCGCCACGACCTGCCTGACCGACCGTGGTGTTGCAGCGCCACCTGTCGGACGCGGAGTTCGAGGCCATCCTGCAGATCGGGCGGCAGGACTTCTACCGCCTGCCGCAGTGGCGCCGCAACGAGCTGAAGCGGCGCGCGCGCCTCTTCTAGCCAGCTCGGGGCGCAGCGATGACGTCACTCACACAGCGGACGCGCCGCGTTCTCCTAACGATGCCTTCTTGTACAAGAGATGATATATACAGATACCTATATACTTTGATATATATTGTGATTTGTGTGGGCGCGTCAATTCGTTTTACATTAGTGAGAACCAAATATATTACGATTTGTAAGATAAATATTTTGTTAGAGTTTAAGTTGGGACATAGAGGAGTATACCGCTATGTATCGGTAGCTATATAAGTGTAGCTCGGAGTGACGCCACGTCACGACTTGGGTTTGCGTCACGCAAACTGTCTCTAGGTGCGGCGCCGCACTCGCTTACTTTGTAAGTCGTTGTTTTTAATTTTATTTTACGCAGATATTATTTTTGGTTGCAATATACTTGAAACTATTATACCAAGGCATTTTTCTTTCCGATTGTTTCGGTCTAATATACTTATAGCGAAACATTCGCCACAGTATAATAACTATATGACGAGGTCACATAGCACTGTCTTATCTAAATCCTCCATAAAGATCCTTCGCAGCTATCCGCGTAGATACGGCGCTTATACGCAGGCGGGCCCTCGTAAGCACTTTAATGAATATATTTTAAAATATAGTAATCAAATTACTGTATCTGACTCCAGCTCAGATTCCTGTAAACTGATATTATAGTGAACGTACCTACACTGCACATTATTACTGTAGCTGTGCGTGCCACGCTACATCGTGGCCCCTAGTAGGGGGCGCTTGGAACCTAATCATATTTATGTATTTGGAAAAATTTTAACGATAAGCAATGTCAGCTTTCTGTGTAGTGTGTGCGAGGAGTGAACGAGTTAAATTATTTATATTGAATTGTATTAGATGTATATATAGAGTTTATTTTGTAATAATTATTCTGTGGAGGCTCGCGGGAACACCGCAACTGCATATATCGGCCACAAGTTCCGCCTTGTACTGCTTGTACTGCATGCAACTAGCCGGACCGCGGCCCGCGTATTGTGTGGAGGCAACTAATTAAAAAACCTGTGATTTTGAAGTCCAATATTTAATATTTAATGTAAAAGAAAAATATATCAAATGATATCATAAGTCCGTTAACTATTTGTTACCAATTGCTATACTATAACTGGGCACCAGCTAGAGGATATGTACGAGCACGCAGTCGCATACTGTAGCTAGTGTTGCGGTGTCCCCGCGCAGGCTGCTGTCCCGCGGACTGCGCCCCGGGAGCTGTACTCCGCCCCGTAGTTACGGTCAGGTGGGGCCAGTGTAACTCGAGGGGTGAATATGTAATTACTAGAAAAAGTTCCCAACATATATTCACCACTTCTCTGTATATATTCACCGCTCGACTTGTATTCGCTCCGTGTTACAGCGCCGCAGTACGCTCGTGGCGCGGCCGCGACGCGACATTTCCTACTTATACATATATAAATGTATAAATATGTGTGAGAGTATTTTACTTATCAGAGACGAACGTGAAGACGACATGCTTTTAAAAATAATAAACTTGCATTTCCGATTAATTTTGTTATTATTTTCGACATGCTCTACCCTAATCCAATAAAACGAGAACCGGCTGCAGCTGCTGGCGGCGAACGTAAACATCCCGACCTATGGACACGCGGGATATTTTCGCGTGTCCATACTAATAACCAACTTATTATAGCGTCTAGAATTCCAGTATTATATATTTCTCTCACTGAACTATTGAACCCAACAATTATCTTTCTAAGATTGACATTCAATGAGGCAACATTACCTGAGGACATGCTACTTATTTCACGTATAAAGCAATAAATTCACAAAGAAAAGCAGAATACATGCAGAGGAATCTATAATTCTTAACAACTTAAAAAGAAATACAGTGTCGCCCCTTTTCCTACGCGCACCTAATGAGGTCATCCCATAATAACGGAGTAAGTGCCAAGAAAAACTTTGCTATCGTAGTACCGTACGCGACGACACCGTAAGCGCGGATTTGCTGTCGACGAGAAATAGAACTTGCTGTCCGACCAGACTTGAGCGGACGGACGACGACGGCGGGTAGCGTTCCGCGAGACCAACTAACTAACAACATTCCTAAATTGTAACAATCATCCTAAGGTTTCAATTTTCTTCCGAGGTGGCAATAAGTGGTAGGTACCGATAGTTTGCAAAATATTCTCTTTTTCTACTAAATTGATACGGTAACATGTATTTTGGTTCAAGGCAAGACTATTCTGTTTATACAAGTTGTACATGCTATTCATATTTAATTTATGGTAATTAATGCCTGTTTCATCAATAACAGATACTTGTAATTTATTATGAGACGATGTGCAAAATTGTCGAAAAGAAAAAAATATCTTGAATACTCAAGGTTCAGGGGCTCTCGAAGAATTAAGGAATTCAACTGAATAATTACCTATCTTCGTCTTGATCGATTAGGTACTAACTACTTCGCATTCAAGATAATTAATCTAAAATTAATTTTCAATAAATTAGCATGGTCGGAGCCATGTTTCAGCAATGCCACAAATATTTATGTATAATCAAAAATTTTATCTAGTCTGTAGGTATGCAACGTGGTCAGAGTTTCACAACACTGCTTTGGGAAATTGTAAGTATAATGGTTTTGGAGGAGAGAATGAATGATCATGGATTAGGACACGATGGGCCTTCTAATCGTAACTAGGAGATGTCATTCGATGGATTTCCCTCTCGATTTTTTAAGGTTTGAGCAATAATCGACACGCTTCCTCAAGGCGGATTGGCTATTTCAAAGTTATATATAATTAGAAATTAAAGTCCAAGTTTCCTAACGATGTGTTCCTCTTTACCGTAGTATAACCATAGAAATTATATATTATGACTCGATAAAAGTCACGTTGATCCTTGCCAGGTTTCGTATTATTTTACCATAGTAAGGGCGTGCCTAAAACGGCATAACGTAGTCGTATTAAGTATGAGTTTCGTTAAGGGATATTGTTTTTAGTCTGTTCTACTGGTAGAGAGTATATAAAATAAAAAAAGAATTGGCCACTCAACGGTAACGACTACAGTCTGAGTGAACTTCCAGGCTTTACCATTAATTGTGACTATCTGAAGGTCGACACGGACATCAAAGGGAAAGACAAGTGCGGGGGCACCTGCAGGTCTTTTTATATTTGACTTCAATAGAAGGAGGAAGTACTAAATTATTTAATACTGTATTTTAATATCGAAAAATATCGTTAATATTGTCTTTTTCGGGCTCAACAGTAATTTGCCTGACTCTACAAAGCCTAATTCAATTGTTGTTCCTTCGATTTTCCCCTAGCTACCTATATTATTCCTCGTTCACTAGTCCTCTGTAAGTTAATTACAGATTGAATCAATTTTTCTGAGACGTATATTCTCTATACTTACGTCTAGTTTGAACACTTAGATTATTGATAAGACCGAGATACACAAATGCTTGCAAGAAGCAAAAATGAAGTCAAAACTGTTCTCAACTGGTGATGTAGGTATACTCAAATTACGTAAATCTATTTTATGAAAATGGATCGTAAAATTTGTTGGTAAGCGCATAACAACGCCTGGACCTCTAGACCAATTTTGTAAATTAATTTTTGTTGTATTTCTTACAGTCATGAGAAAGACCTTATGTAAAAAATATATAGGTATTATAAAAGTACAGGGGAAAATCGGGAAAAAGTGACCCTTTCGTTCTTATTAGAAAGTTGGACCCATGCTAAGCAAGGTAGAGCCGCTAGTAGTTAATAAATTAATATCCATTTATTTTATTAAGTATTCATTCAATCACTTGTTTATATAGATTAAACTTAATCTGTATTTACACTCAATTTTATTTTAGATTATTTTACAAACTAGGTTTTCAACATGCCAAATGATTAGGTACTACCTATTCTCTAAAAAGGTGTCGAATCGAATTGTAAATTAACTGTTTGAACGTTGTCAACACTAACAACATTGGCAACACTGTCTCACAGATTATAAGCGACCGAATGACAACGAGGAAACTGTCTATAGCACTCTGTGAAACCGCAAAAGTCGCGCGTGCTAGTAAGTCGCATTTATGGAATCAATTTTGATTGTACTAAATTTCGGATGACTTGTGATAAAAATAGTTAGTGAAAATGATACTTCTAATTCGATAAATCAAAATCGAGAGCTCTGTAAATTTTTAGCCTGCAGTGTTTTTTTTGTGCGAAGTGTCAGTATTTAGTGAGTATTATGAACTTTGAGGACTATGAAACTCTTCCGACCCAAAACTCCGTCACACACATGACTGCTGGAGCAATAGCAGGCGTGATGGAGCATTGCATAATGTACCCACTCGACTCCGTGAAGGTAAGCACTGTCTGCAACCACCGGTGCAGCCAGGGGCTGCTGCTGTCTGCCACTTGCTTGGAAACTAACCTAATCACTGTGACAGTTGAATCGGCTGGCCTGTTACGCCACCAATTTGCCTCTTCTGATTATGTAAAAACGAACGTCAATTATGTCTATTACAATTATTGTAACAGTGCGTAATCTGTGATCAATCGTTTTAATCGTAACACGTTGTGATATTTATTGTCATCTTAGTTTCTTGTTGGAATTTATCAGTTGGTCTTGTCTAATTACAAAGTTTAGCGCTAAGTTTTCCAGCTGCATTTAATGCAGTCAGTAGGTGACAGTACTTATTATGTTTAGCATGAGCTGTCTACTAAGTTATAATCTTAATAAAGTAAAAGTTCGAGTGTATAAAGCCAGTGGTGCACACAGCACAATTAGTGCCCAGACACCTCAGATACTGAGACAGACAAGCAACACATGACCTTGACTGCTAGTTGTGTTGTTGCACCTTCTGCTGTCACTCTGTGTGTACCAGTAAATAGGTACAGCTATTATATATTTCCTTGTTATAATAAGTGCAACATGCTTAGTTTGTACCATTAGAGGCCACAGTGTGAACTCATCGTCTGATAACACAGTACAGACTGACAATGTACACAAACTGAGCAAACAGCAACTATTGAATGATATATATGTGTGTGTGGCACATGTTGTTACCTACTGATAAATACAGTCTGTGCTATCATTAAAACATGCACATTTACTAATCAGAGACCTAAACTAGATTGTTACAATATTGTCAATGTGCATCTAGTGGCATACTAATGTGTGTCTCATGTGTTGCATGGCTTAGTTCATTTGACTGCTATCACATCAGGCATTCATTATATATTGTGCTTTGTTTCCTGTAATGCTACACAACTATTGACAAATATTTTGATTTATATACATTTTCTTCATTAAACTGATCAATATATGTATACTGACAGATGAATGGTACAAAGTAACACTTGAAGTATTGTGACCAAAGTTTTTGATTTTGTGATAGTATTCTCACTCAGTATATTGTGGACATGAAAAACCATTTATTACAAGATGACAAGTGACAATTTTAACATCCATACCATTATTATTAAACATAATTTATTTATTTAACAAAATGATGAAAATTGCAAGTAATGCTGACAGCTCAGTGTTCAGTCAGAGACACTCGTGCCAGTGTGTGCACAGTGACTCAGTGACCAGCTGTATATACCGACTCGGTACCAGTGTACTCTACTGCAGCTGGGAGAGCCATGTGACCAGCTCTATGGTGCTGCCAACATTTCTACTGGCTACACTCCACTCACATTCAAAAATGCTCTTTATATAAAAAGTATATTGTGTTGTATATACCACTGTACTAATATTTGACATGAATCTGCATTACCTTTATACAGATTATTGTGTGTAATACAATAATTGTTGGGTGAGCAGATGGTCACAAACCTGTGTGTTTAACACACTGTTATAAAATATGTACAACAATACTTAATTAATAAAAATATTTTTATAATAACTATAATGCATAAATATATATTTAATAACAGCACTAAAATTGGATTAATGAATATGCACCAAGTGAATATGTACATTATATATATAGGTAATACAAGTATGTGCCATGTTTTCCTTAAAGGAAAAGTTTCCACACAAGTAGTTGCAGTCCAATGTCCGCCATTGTTGTGCAATTAACATTATACCAGTTGCTCATAATTGATTAATAACTAGAGTAGGCACATGTGTTGAGACTTGTGTCATGTAATGTATCAGTTTGCATGAGTAGTGCTCGTATCTGTAGCGCAGTGGTGCAGCGTGGCTATATGAGGAAGTAGTCGGCCCTGTTAGCGTTCTGCCAGCACTGCTGCGTGCGGAAGGCGGTGTCGCAGTGGTCGGCGCCGCGCTGCGTGCCGCAGGCCTTCAGCGCGGGCGCGTTGTGCTCCGCCAGCGAGGGCGGCAGCAGCGCCAGCACGGCCTCGATGTCCACCTCGCCGTCGGCCATCATGCCGGCCGTCTCCATCGTGCACTTGATGTAGCACTTGAGCTTGTCGTCTGGCATCAGCTCGGCGCCGGCGTTGACTTGCTCCACGAGCGCCACGTCCACGCCGGTCTCGCCCGCGCAATTTTCGCGCACCATGCGCGCCAGTTCCGCCATATCCTCGTCCATCTCGACGGCGGCCGCCGCCAGCGCGGCTAGCGTGGCCAGCGTCAGCACTAGCGCCCGCGCCCACATCGCGGATGCCCTCGATATAGCGCTAGCGTCTGCCGGCCTGCTCCTTATATAACTCGCTGCTCAATGTCACCTGGTCCCGATCACATGGGCCGTGTCATCTCTAAATTGCAAGCTCCTCCTTAATAGCCCCTGATTAAAAAAAGATGTTTGTTCGCGAAGTGTACCTACTGCTAGGAGGAAGCTGTAATTTTTCATTGGCAATGTACAATCATCGGAAAAAATTACATATTTGCTAAAGAAAGAATTATACACTACTAACAGATAAATTGTCAGTTGCTTGTGAAACAAAGAATATTTAGGAGGTAGTCGAGTGTGCCAAGTGGCTGTAATTAACTGGAGGACGATTGTTGCAGACTCGGATGCAGTCGTTACGGAATGCCAACAACAGCTCCATCACCGAGACCTTCCGGTACATGGTGAAGAAGGAAGGCCTACTGAGGTAACTATCCATGCTGGCCGCCGGAACGAGTCCGGTCGCGGACGGTCCTTGCGTATCCACAAATTGTTGTTCAGAGTCGGGTAGGTGCGATCAGGATCTAGTCTACAAAATATACTTAGATTTGCGTTCATAATGCTCGAGCCAAACAATCATTATGGAAAACTTTCCTTTACGCATATATAGGGAACAGTGCTTTGCCAGTGTGGAATGTATGATATTTGGGTACTGTAAGGGAGTACTAAGAAAGGGTATTCTCATAGACCCGTGGGAAGTCTTTTCTTTGTGAGTACACAAGACTGATATTTTTTTCTTACAATAGGGATTTCTACCTACATACCTATTTAATCGGGCCTTAGAAACACCCCTCGGGGAACACAAACATTGGCAAATAATTCCAGTCCTTAGGGGCTATGATAAAAATGTGGAGGCAAATCGCTTCGTGCGTTTGCGTTTCAGACGCAGGTGTTTGGTTTCGGGAGGTACTTGTTTTGTTGTTACTCAGGGCACACGGTGGCGGTGTGTGCTGCTTCTGCTGGACACTGACTTCCGTCTTCTTAGGCATGGTCCAGTCCGTGCTGCAGTGCAGACCAAAAAGAAATACGAAGCCGTCCTCACACATATGAGCTTATGGCTCGTCGCGTTTAAGAGCTATCAAACCACCACAAATGGCCCACTAGAGCCGATGTCCCGCCAGGGTTACTTGGAGAAGAAGAAAGAAAGGGTTGGTTTTTTGTTATTAAGAGCCTCACACTCTTTTGCCCCATTCTGGGTGGGAGAAGTCGATGATGGTGAATCATTTGATGATTTTTCTCTCGCAAAGGTATACACTAATGTATAGAGCGCAGTGAGCGGTGCCGGTGACTCGGTGGCTGCAAGCTGTGACCGTACGGTGTACCGTCTGGTTGGAAACTCAAATGTCGGCTCTTGCAAAATACAACGAAATATAAATCTAGTTTAAAACTATTTAAAGTTTTATACGCGTTTTTGCCCCGTATCAAACAATTGTAATTGCAGAACAAAGATGTTGCTACTGACCGTCTGTTCGTCTGTGACAGGAAAATATCAAGTGTCTGCTTATACCTGTGTAGACACTTGAGTACAAATCGCGAATACATTGGCTATATAGGCAGTTAGTTAGGTCATTTGGTACTTAGTTGTAGCTCTCAGCGAGGGTTTGTTCCCGAGGGTTCCCGTGTATACTAGCACCGTGCGTAGTTTGCCAACAGCTGGCACCTGACGCTGCGATGATGTACTCACATAGGTCTAGTTAGAAGTAACGAATAACCGGCGCTGGCAAATAGGATGACGATTTATTAAAGGACAAAAGCACAAGGCGGTAAATCGGTGCAAATGGCTGTCTGCCGCTGCTCTAGTGGCGGGCTAGTGTTGCTCAGTCGCGTCCTCTCTCCGCTCCACGCGGCACAGTAACCTATTACTAGTATTTAGTAGCGCGACGCGACCACGAGCTCGGCACGTGTACACGCGCGGAGTAACTTCTCTTTTCGACGCATTGTATATGTTATGGGTTATGCCAATATATATGAAACATAACAAAGACATTATATTAGTGAAATGGTAACCTATTCTTAAAAAAAATTAGCTAATACAAACCCACAGACACGGTGAAAAATAGAAATAGAAATAAATGTAACAAGAGGATAAATAAATGTACCGGAGGCCCAATCCTTCCCCTCCCCCGATCCCTCCCAATCCCTAAATCTCCAAAACCCTAATCCCTAAAAACCTAATCGCCGTGGGCGGCGCTGATTGCTTACCATCAGGTAATCCGTCTGCTCGTTTGCCGACCTATTCTATAAAACAGATCAAAATTCCTAGTTCTAGTCCTAGACGTAGGCCTCGAATGAGCTCGCGTCCTCCCACTTCCTTGAGCCACATCTCAAATGATAGACTATGTGTATGTTTGTATTTTTGTTTATATCACGCCCCGCTTTTTCCATTGCATTGGGCATGTCCTTCGCGACATTAGCGAACAATTTGGGGGAAATAATATCATGTTTAATTTCACGATGAAATTGCGTCCTAGGGTCAAAACAATGTATATTTCGCACCATTTGGAATTTATGAATATTCAACTTGTCATTAGTTGTTTCAACTGACCAAAACAGGCTAGAGGCTCCACAGGATGAGTCGTAGCGCATGAAAGCTAAGCATAGGAGCGGATACTCTTCGGCCTTCTATATAATATAATAATTATATAACACTTGACTGGGTGACTTTTATACTGGACTATCGTTCCAATCTTTAATGAATTACTGTGTGTAATGAGGTTTGTGCAATCGAAGTCACTAAAGTCTAAACCTTGCCTCTAGATAGCGCGGAGTGACTTGTACTGTAGGAGTTCTGCCCTCGAGTCTAGTCTACTCCTACCTACTGCCCTACCTCACGAGGCGATGGTTCAATTATTGATAAAAGGTTCAGAGCTATGGATGTTCCTTGCCAAAGGCAAATAAACAAGTTTACAAATAATATTAGCGTTACATGACCTTCTTTGGTTTCCTGCCTTTCCTTGCGTTGCCTACCAATGTAGACCAGTACACAACGTTAATCGCCAAGTCCACCTGAATTGCCTGCGACCGCATTACGACAGCCGCAGGTGCTTACTGTATTCTATTTAAAATTAGAACTATTTAGCAATCCACCATGAGCTCTATAAGGGCATCCCAGGCCCTCGTTACATGTGCGTCAGATACCGGTCGGTGGTCGGCAGTGGCTGCAGGCTGCAGTCACGCGGCGCGTGGCGCTATCGGCGGCGTTATCTGTTATCAGCGTACGTGAGGCTGGTCGCCGCCCTCAGCCTTGCTTGCTGCGAGTATCTGGCAGTGTCGTGCCACCAACATAATGGATGCGCGATACCCATCTACGCTGCGCCTCACCCACTGATAATACATTCGCCACTACTCCTACACTCTCTGATAGTAATCTATTAAATAACAAGTGAATTTAGCTTAACGTTACGGATACTGGCGCCAGTAGGGTTGGACCGTGTGGCGCGAGCATAAAGTAAAGAAAATTTGAATCTGGGTTCAATAATAAACCTAATGAGTAACTAGTCGACAAGTAAATTAATTGTACTGGGAGAACACAGAAACCATGTGTTATCAGCGCGGCACGCGCAGCTTTTGTCTATGATTGCGGATCGTGTGATAGAGTAGTCCCCGGCACGGGCAGTGAAAGTGTCGCGCGCCGCTGGTCAATGCTCAGTCAACCCGCGCCCGCCAGATAACACGAAAGGTCGCCACGTAATACCTTATCTCATTCTGTTTGTCTCCTGTCATGTTCCTTACTCAATTTATCGATGACTTCTTTTGCTTTTATTGATGTGGTTGATACACTTGTCGAGTAAAATATCACAGTAAGTAGTCCTTGTTTAGTGATTCGTGAGGCACCCACCCGCTTCTACTCCAAGCTGAGGATTTAGGCCTACTACTTCAGAATCACAAAGCTGGAGTTCACAAAATCATTGTACATAGTAGTTTAAAGAGGTCGGATTGGCTCTGCTGTCCGACACTTGTAACCGTTGAGTCCCGCGGGGCAGTCGGGCGATGTGCGCACTAATGTGCCGCGGCCTGCAGCAGGAGAAGGTGTGGGATGGGTTTACTCAATAAGGGTGTGAGGGGTTTAGTCAAGAGGCTCACCAACTTTTTCTGCTCAAAAAAATAAGAACCCGCGGGAAGAATTGAGGTGGTCACTTGGACTTACCCATACTTACCTGCCCACGTGGCGGCGGTAGAAGGACCCAATTATTTTAACGGAAATTATTGTTGTTGACCTTATGAGTTTTAGAAGTATAGGAATTGACAACCACGACGGATTTTGTAGCGGATAGTCCAGTTGAATCGTGAGCGGGTCTCCTGGAACTAGTGCAACGTTGAGTGCTCACTGTACACTGGTTACATAAACGAGCAGTGTGTGCACAGCCTCGTAATTACATAGCAGCAGCCAGCTATCAGTACTGCAGGTACTTCTCGGCTGAGCAAACATACTAACGAACAGTTGCCTCTAAATTATATAAACAGTCATTATCGAATCAACGCGCTGACGCCACCGAATACCTATTTGTTGTAAATACTATAAGTGAAGAATAACGAAGCGCTATCACGGTAGGTACTAGATGGAGCGGCAAACAGGCGTGGCAGATAACGCGCGCAGTCTTACAGTGTTGTAATAGAGCGCTGCGATACGTAGCACACGACACTGGTGCAGCACTGTGCCGGCGCTGCTGCGTGCAGACTGGTGCATGTCACCCGTCCTCTGAATGGCTACTCCGCTTACGGAAATAACCAAATGTTTCATCGAGATGTGTACCACGTGTTTGTACGAATTTTTTAAATATTTCGCTCGGAAGCACTTAATATGTAGAAACAAATGAAGGAAACTTGTTAATAGAGGAGGATGCAATACTTTGCGGCGGGGTCATTAGAAATTTGGCGCGAGTGTCGGCATCGCCTGGTGCTCCGTGGTGTTTGCGTGTCTGCCACTCGCTGCTCGCTGCTGATGATTTTAAAAGAGCGACAGTTGGAGTAATGCGCGTGTGTCCACTGTACGGTAATTTAGATGACGTCAATAAATCGCCATTTGTACGTCGGCCTCCTTGACCTTACCTTGTCAATTGTTTTACCGAGTCGTGTGCTGTTATGTCATTATACCTACTGCATTTTAAATGAGAATGTTGTGTTGACCGACGGTGACACAAGTCAAAATTCTCTCGGTCGATCGGTCGAAAGAGCTGCGCGTAATAGCGACTTTAATTCAAACTCATACTCCATCCGTAAATAATCCGATACTGAATAATTCTTTGAACATTTAGCTTCAGAAGGTCTCGTGTATTAATGTTTAAGCGATGGTATCGATCCAAGTTCGCTTGTACCTACGTATCATTTGTACGTAGGCGAGGAGAGGTCGCCGCCAGCCGAATTGTGACGACCTTGAGCCTCAAGGCCGGCTGAGTACCGGGTAGCTGGCCCAGGTGCCCTACCCCCGGCTCTCACAGAACAGCAAGCACGATAATGCGGTTCATACAGACGCACATTTAGAGATCCATCCACTTGAAGCTGATACAAAGTCAGCGAGCAAACTAAAACAAGTAAAAAATTGAATGCACAGCAATGATGACTGTTCTTTCCTGTTTGAATTATCGAAAAAAACTCGTGATGACGTCACAGTACTACGCGTGTTCGAAGCCGGAAGGCCGTCCAACGTGATTACCGTGTCGTCTGTAGTCTCACGGTCCGGCCTGTGTGCTAGTGTACTCTACCAATATCTTGCAAGTCGTGCATGTTGTTGTAGCAATTATCTAAATGTTTTATGTTGTGTAAAATGTAGCGGCTAATATGTCAAGCAGAGTAATTAACATTAACCCTTGGACCACCACCTTATCTTACAAATTGAACTTGACAGATGACGCTAATGTCCAATGTTTGTTCAAAAAATTATCTCCATAATGTCACAGCACTTATACTAATTTTAATCAGTTGAAAACGCTCACGATTTCATCATATTTTGAGTATTATGTCGGTATTTCGAAAACGTTAGGTTACATTACATAATGATATAATTTGTACAAATGGTGCGTCTGATCGCGCGGTCACTACTTTTTACCGACTTCAAAAAAAGGAGGAGGTACTATGTTCGGCTGCTTGTTTTTTTTTTGTATGTTTGTTGTAAGCTTTAATCACCTTGATCGGAACTAGTTTCTCTTGAGATCAATATGTGCTCGATGCTCCATCGGGTACTACAGTGCACACATACAATAACAGCAACAGAAGGTGGAGGCAGCACATGATAGCATTTTGTAATGACTTAACAGGACCAAGTGAAACAAGAACTAACTAAGCCACTGGTTGGAGCTAGTAACTTATTACACATACTTATTTCCTGCTTAATGTAGTAAAATAAATTGGTAATTAAGTTATATATGTAGATAAAAAATAATGTGACGAGGAGAAAATACAAGGAGTTTTCTTTATAGTGCATAAGTATGCATCTTTAATAGGTAACTAAAGAGATATCGTGCATAACGCCATGTGCAAGGAGTCGCTAGACGAGTTATTGATGACGCTTTATGTTGTTTACGTGGAATAGGAGGCAGCAGACGGTTCTTCTGATGTTAATAAGTTACCAGCGCCGCCCATCGACGAGAACGCTCGTTCTTGAAGTTTTAAGGGTCGCATGGGATCCGAGATGCCCCGGTGAAAGAAAGATCATTCCTTAGCTTTGCCAGAAAGTTTCGGGAAAATCGCACAGACTGTCAACCTGTGACTGTGTCCGGCTGCGCTGCTGCTGCCACTTGTGTAGGTCCGCGTGTCTGTATGAGTGCGCGTTATCTGTCGTCGTGTTGTAAAATTATTGTACGTGCAGGTGATAGATAATGATAGCAGCTCGCGATACTATCTCAGGGTTGACACTATAACTTATTTTATTAAATACGTGTGCTATTTATGGCAATATTACTTATATATAATACACGACAACACTTCATACGTGTTGACGTAGGTGCGCTTGTACTTCTGTTAAAATACGCAAGTCACTGTAACAAACAAGCCACGGGCCGCCAGCGCTGCAGTGTTGGCTCAGTGTCTCCGGTAGCCAGCCTCCTTCTGGACGACTGAGCTCCCAACGGGCTGTATTGGTAGATGGCGATAACCCAACTTATCAAATTCAATACTTCAACAGAAATGGCTTTTAAAATTTTTCTATGAATTTAGTGTGGCGGTGATGTGATGTGACGCTATAATGTATTGCATTAAAGATAGTACTCTGTTAAACATGTTTTTTTATTTGTTCAGCACGCAAGACTTACAGTAAGATAAAACACAATTAAAATTTTGAACGGTAATTGGACAGCCAATGACAAGTCTGCACGTTTATCACTAGAGTATTATAAAAGGACCATGAACTTACAATTTAGAAAAATAAAATATGTTAATAAGAAACAGTATATGATAATAAGTAGCATAAGGAACCAGTATTTGTACTGTAGTGGAAGTAATGAAGGCTGGTGCGAGTATTTTTGTTCAGATATAACTGACCGCAGGACTGGCAGTGGCCACGACACACGTGGACTCGTAGGTATATTTCAAAATACCGCCCAGAACTTGTACTGTACGACCACCGTTTTTTGACATCAGGCACCTTTACGATAACCAGGCGGTAAATGGTTATCGGGTGGGTAGTAAATACTACAACTAGCTATCGCATTTTTGTTACAAAACCAAAATGTATTTTACGTTTCAGTGACTTCGTAGTTGTATCCGTCTTTTGTATGCAATACAAATTTATTTCGCGTCTATAGCACGCTGTGTAACGCACACGAGTGTATTGTTGGAGCAGGAGTAAAGCCGAGCATTATTTGAAAAATGACCAAGCAGTACTGACAAACCTGATACTTACTCTATACTTGTATAGTAGGGTACATAATGTAGGAGGCACGGGGCCCGGCACTGGCATACACTGTTGATGACATGAACAGTGACGGGGCCTGAAGTAGTGTGCTTGTCTGTGTATTTAATATTTATCTTGCTTTTCTTGATATGTGGAAATTATTTTAATATTATTTTATATTAATTTAATATTGGCCACCTCAACACTTTAGCAAGTTAGTAGAATGGCTTCTACGACACACACACAACTTGAACTTGTATACTTTAGTACTGGAAGTAGGTTATGTTGCTAGCACAAAGCCAGAGGTCTTATGTCGTCCCTGGGGAGTGAGGAACGCTGTACATTCTGTAGTTGTGCTCCAAATCTTGTCTAGAATCTAAGCTTTAACGAATTAATAAGTAATTTACAGGATACGTTAAATAACGTCTAACTTCGCAGTGTACGTATAAACGTGACATGTCCATCTGTAAGTGTTGTCCAACACTGGGTGTACTATTGTACACGGCATATACATATTATAGCTATTTAGGTGTCTTCTTTTCATATGTTAATTATAAATATTAACAGATGTGCAAATCAAAAATTGTAAGTGTGTAGATTTATATATTTAAATGCATAAATATATGTAAAATGAGTGTCTGTGACAGGCCTATCCGCGGCATGTCGGCGGTGGTGATGGGCGCGGGCCCGGCGCACGCCTGCTTCTTCGCCACGTACGAGTACTGCAAGCACTCGCTGTCGCAGCTCACCAGGCACCGGCACGACCACATCACACACGGTCAGTCTCCAGCTATTGTGGACCCCAACAGACCATTGTTTAGTTCACACAAGTGTGGGGCTGCCGTTAGACTCGGTCAACTCCAGTGGTTGAACAAAGGACAGATTCGTTTGTCTGATAGAAGCTTAGTCTGTGTCCCCAAATGGTACCATGTGGATGGGACAATCAGAGAACAGTGTGTTATATGCCGTATTGTAAAGTTTAAATAAAATCCTCTGCTCGAATCGTTTGATTTATAATCTTACAAATGTTTCGGCCTCGTTGTTTACCGGAGGCCCAGCTTAACGTATGTACGAAGCGTGCTGATTGGTCGTGTGGTCGTGTTGCAGGACTCTCGGGCTGCATCGCGTCGCTAGTGCACGACGCAGTCTCCAACCCGGCTGAGGGTGAGTTACCTACATATTCACATCTTGCCATCTATTATCAACACTTGGTCGCACTACTCACATTGGCTTGTGGTATACTATGGTTATTGCCGCGTAACTGCTGTAAATGGAGTACCTACTCGTAATTAGTATACGACAGCACCGCTACTTGATTGATACAGGTCTTGATGCAGACTTGTTTCCTCTCTGGAAGCTGGCGAATGTTCTGCGGTGCTCGTCTGACCTTGAGGTCACTGACTTTCAAATAAATGATATTCTGATTCTGACAACTATTTTCTCTGTCAAGAAACAAGACTGCATGGTTCAAGCGTTGGATGAGCAACCGGCTGTCGCGCTACGAGAAAGTCCTAGTTAATTGTAAAAAAAAAACCTTGATTGTAAAAATAATGCAAATATCGACAAAATATTATTGAAACAGTTAACGCAAGTGCGTTACTATAGTCAGAATTTTAATTCGATTCCAGATTTGACATGACCTACTATCATTTTGTGAAATAATGATACCACATAATATAACAGTGTAGTGATGAACACAAAAATCGATAAACTATTAGTGAATCAGTTAAACAGGAAGGCATTCAAAAAATTACGGCTACCGAATGGTCTAAATGCGTATCCCATGTTTCAAAGAAGAGGAAAAAATTTGTAAGCTGTAAAATTGACAATAAATATCACAGACACAATTCATAATAAATGTTACAGAAAGTAACAGCGAAAGCGATGACGGCGATAATTTATAAAATAAATTATTAGCATAATAGATCACATTTTTTTCACACACAATTATAAAAGAAAAGTATCAGATCGTTAATTAATTGTCAAAACTAAATCATCGGTTCAGAAATATTTAATTTCCTGATAAATTTAGTTAACGAGAGTAATCGATTCGGAAATATTCGATTTCCATATCGAATAATTTCGCAACGTCACTATTTAGTACTTGTCATAACGTTGCAACACTGAAATTGGCGTGCGTTCGTGCAGCGTAATATTGTTGAATTTAAAGATTTTAATTATGCAGATATTTAGTGTATGACGTCGTATAATTGTGTATGGTAAAAAAAAATTTGTGCACGCAACCATTGTGGAGAAATTCACCAAAAACTGATTCCGCTGGGCGAACGTTGTCCTGGCGGAACTTTTTTTATTCCATAGACTTTAGAAGAAAAGAGATGTATCCAAAAATTAGTGTGTATTTGTGTGTAATTGTGTATGTATGAATAAAACTAGTGCATGCATAAACTTCGGAGAAATTCAAGTTTCCGCTACGCGAACGTTTGGCCATTAGCTAGTTTTCATATAAAGCGCTTACATAGAGAGCTGTAGATTTTTACATACGTTGTTTTGAATTTGTGTATATTTGTTTAAAAAACAGATTTAGAAAAAATCGTAGGGTTTAAAAGATAAAAATATAAACGTAAAATACGCTTATTAGGTCTTAGTTCTTAAAGTATGCACTTTAGGGTCTAGATTTTCACGTTTATACAAACCTTGTAAGTGTCTGCAACATGTTGCCAAGTATCAATGATGTTCCGTTAGTAATTAAATAGTTATAGGACAAATTTACCATGAATAGATCACTGTTTACAAAGCAGTCAAATATCACGACGTTCTAAATGAATTGCATGGTAAAATGTATGCCAATAATTAGTGTATTCATTCAACTATTCACATGCAAAATTTCATGTCATTTAATTCAGTAATTAAAGAAAAACAATTATAATACTGACGAAGTATCGAAAACCTACATAACCCGACCAAGTTCGGATGGCTACAAAAAAGCGGCTGTTCAATATATTTAGGTAACATCCCAAAATGTACAGTATAATACCGGTATTGAATTGGTACAGGTGATAACACACTTGTTGTTTCGAAATAATTTATAGGTCATTTATTTTTGGACACCTACTTTTTTAAATGTATTTGACTATGACAGAAAGTAGATACTATTTACGTAGGTACTTTATTTAAGTATGCGCTTGAGACTTGAGATATAATCTAATTATATTTAAGACAAATAAAATTCATACAGCTAATTTCTATTGAAGATTTCACGGACCAGGATTCTAACTATAGACCCCTTAGGGAAATTAAATATTTACGACATGTAAGTACTTAAGTACTACTGTTTAGGTAAATATTTATCATATTGTAGCTTATTACACTATTTAACCAATCTTTTTTATTACACTATTTAACCAATAGAGGCATGCACGAGCGTGTGTACGATACTGTGTTTTATTTTTTCCTAACGCTTGTGTACGATAATGTACCATATTAATAAATGCTATATTGGAAAGTTAAGAACGTTTCTTAGGTATATGGCACGGCCGCTTTTTTGTAGCCATCCGAACTTGGTCGGGTTATGTAGGTTTTCGATGCTTCGTCAGTATTATAATTGTTTTTCTTTAATTACTGAATTAAATGACATGAAATTATGCATGTCAATAGTTGAATAAATACACTAATTACAGGCATACATTTTACCATGCAATTCATTTAGAACGTCGTGATATTTGACTGCTTTGTAAACAGTGATCTATTCATGGTAAATTTGTCCTATAACTATTTAATTACTAACGGAACATCATTGATACTTGGCAACATGATGCAGACACTTACAAGGTTCGTATAAACGTGAAAATCTAGACCCCAAAGTGCATACTTTAAGAACTAAGACCTAATAAGCGTATTTTACGTTTATATTTTTATCTTTTAAACCCTACGATTTTTTCTAAATCTGTTTTTTAAACAAATATACACAAATTCAAAACAACGTATGTAAAAATCTACAGCTCTCTATGTAAGCGCTTTATATGAAAACTAGCTAATGGCCAAACGTTCGCGTAGCGGAAACTTGAATTTCTCCGAAGTTTATGCATGCACTAGTTTTATTCATACATACACAATTACACACAAATACACACTAATTTTTGGATACATCTCTTTTCTTCTAAAGTCTATGGAATAAAAAAAGTTCCGCCAGGACAACGTTCGCCCAGCGGAATCAGTTTTTGGTGAATTTCTCCACAATGGTTGCGTGCACAATTTTTTTTTTACCATACACAATTATACGACGTCATACACTAAATATATGCATAATTAAAATCTTTAAATTCAACAATATTCCGCTGCACGAACGCACGCCTGAAATTGTCAAATCAGGAATCTAATTAAGAATTCCGAGTATAGTTCCCAGTAACTGTTTGAGTCTGCACATGTTGTACTAAACACTTGAGGTGGGCTACACAGCGTGTCTTTGTGAAATGTGCTCGGTGTCAGATCCTCGTAAACATTTCATAATTGTTTACTTGTAAAGGGCTTAAATGTACAAATAATTGAAATGCAGTTTAAAATTTTTATTATTATCAACAGTATGACAGTTGGCATTCGACTCTCAAGCTTATCATTTGTCTCCACACTCACAACCCAACAACATAATTACATCGGTGGTTGCATGAATGTATTGAGAAAATATACAGCGATTCGGCTTCGATTGCTGCACCAATTAAACTTTGTAAGGCTTTAAAGTCCAATGTTTACGCGAAATTCGCCACGTCGTTTGTATAACTAATGAGAACGTCGATGAATTGACAAATTGGTGTCTTCAACACTGTGCTCAAGCGATAAAGTTGTGTGATCAAAATCTTATTTTTGCTTTATTTGGTTGCAGTGGTGAAGCAGCGCATGCAGATGCTGCAGTCGCCGTACCGCGGCGTGTGGGAGTGCGCGCGACACGTGTACCGCAGCGAGGGCGCGCGCGCCTTCTACCGGTCGTACGGCACGCAGGTGGCCATGAACGTGCCCTTCCAGGCGCTGCACTTCGCCACGTACGAGGCCTGCACGGCGCGCCTCAACCCCGCGCGCGCCTACGACCCGCTGGCGCACGCGCTGGCGGGCGCGGCGGGCGGCGCGCTGGCCGCGGCCGCCACGACGCCGCTGGACGTCTGCAAGACCGTGCTCAACACGCAGGAGCGGGCCGCGCGCGCCGACGGGCTGCTGGACGCCGCCGCCGCCGTCCTGCGCGCCTCGGGCCCGCGCGGCTTCTTCCGCGGCCTGCAGGCGCGCGTCCTCTACCAGATGCCGGCCGCCGCCATCTGCTGGCTCACCTACGAGACCTTCAAGCACGCGCTGGGCGGCGCCGCCGACGACGCGCCGCCCGCGCCGCCGCTGGCCTGCGCCGCGCTGCGCCTGGCCGCCGCCGACGTGCCGGCCTCGTAGGCCTGGCGCCGCAGGCCCGCAGGCCCGCAGGCGCCCGCTAGTCACGCCTTTGTTTCCGTTGTTTTGTAAATGATTTGTTACCGCAGTCCACGATTGCAGCTAGTACTCGTCGCCCGGACGCGGGTCGGCTCGGGTTGACATCCTCGCGGATGTAAAACATGTCGGAGGTGCTATGTATAATGTATATTGTGATGGAGGGAACGGTTTGCCGCTCGACTCGTTGGGACGCGTCAAATTATGTTGTTGTTTGTGTAAATTACTATTATATTAATTGTATTTGTTGTATTTATGAGTTGTATATGTGAGTGATAAACTCGATTTAAATTGAGAGTTATAAACTACTATTTGTATAGTTAACGCGGCGAGCGACTGGCCTCGGTCGCCGCAAGCCGAGCTGTAAAATTGCAAAATGAAAAGAATATTAAACACTAAGTAAATAAAGAGTTGGACAATACGCCGCTGTTTCATTGCGCTGCACCCAACCAGGAACAAGTATGACATTTATTCAAAGTGACTGTATTTTTTAAATAAGATATTTTATTACAAAAGTACTTTTATATTAGAAAAAAGACAAATCAAAAAATATATTTCCGATGAGTTATTATACAACGATACACTTGGAAGTTCTCGTAGCGCCAGAGTTAGCGCTTGGCGACGAGGCCGTAGTAGGCGGCCAGCCCCAGCAGCGGCGCCGCCGTGGGGTCGTCGGGCAGGTCGCCCGCGCTGGCCGCCACGTCCAGGTGCGCGTAGGGCACGTCGCCCTGCTCCAGCCCCGCCGCCAGCAGCAGGAAGGCGGCCGGGCCCTGGTGGCCGCGGGGCAGCGCCACGGACGGCGCGCTGGCCGCCTGCGTCAGCTGGTCCAGGCCGCGGCCGCGGTGCGCCGCCAGGTCCTCGCGCCGCAGCACCGACACCTCCAGCATGTCCCCCAGCCGCTCCGCCGCCGCGCGCAGCCCGCCCGCGTGACCCCGCGCGCGCGCCGCGTGGCTGTCCAGCACGGCCGTGTACCCACGCCCGTAGGCGCGCACGGCGTGCCCCGTCAGCGTGGCCACCGTGTACAGCATGGGCGCGCGCTCGGTCTGCGCGCGCTGCGCCAGCTCGGCCAGCAGGTCGGCCATCACCAGGCGGCCCTCCGCGTCCGTGTTGCCCACGCGCACGCCCAGCCCGCGCCGGCTGCGCAGCAACTCGTCGGCCACGTACGCCTCCTCGCCCACCGAGTTGCGGACCATGCCCAGCGACGCCACCACCTTCAGCGCCGGCCTCAGCTCGTCGCACGCCTCCACGATCGACGTCAGCACTCATTAGTCTCTACGTCCGATTGACGTCCAATAATATAAAAGCAGTAAGCGACTGACCTTAAGAAAGCCGACGACCGCGGCGGCGCCGCACTTGTCGCGCGACATGCCGGCCATTGCGCCGCCCACCTTGATGTCGCAGCCGCCCGTGTCGTACGTCACGCCCTGCGAACACGCCGCGCTCAGTGCCCCGCTACACACACACACGCGCGCACCCACACGGCCGCACTCACCTTGCCCACCAGCATGACGGTGCGCTCGTAGCTGTCGGGCTCGTACTCCAGGAAGATGACGCAACCTGCAAGACGAGGACACAGTGAGCGCGGCGCGCGACGCGGCGCGGCATGAGGCGCGGTACGCACCGCGGTGGCGCGGCACGGCGGCGGCGGCGCGGTCGACGGCGGCCAGCAGCGGGTAGTGGCGCTCCAGCTGCGCGCGCTGCTCCAGGACGCGCACGCGCACGGCGCTGGCGCCGCCGAACTGCGCGCGCACGTACTCCGCCGTGCGCAGCGGGCTCATACGCTCGGGGTCCGCGCCGCCGATGTCGCGCGCCACGCCCCTACACCACCATCTTGCTCATTATTTTACCACCATTTACAAAACAAAAAAAAAACAATATCCTGCTTTTGCGAGCAGACTGACTTATTGTTAACAAAGTACTCATTTTTCCAATAACAGGTATAGTTTTGACTGCCATAATAATGTTAATGCCTCACTCCCCTCAATTACCTACTATATACAATAATTTCAGTATCTAGCAGCTTGACTACTGTAAAGATCAAATTATAAAAAAGAACTACAATGCTGCGTAAATTAACTGACAAGTGTGACACTCACCTGGCCACTTCCAGAGCCACGGCCTCCCGGATCAGGTCCTCGACGGAGCCCTGCAATCCTTCCGCGTACACGCCGAGCGCCGTCACCTTGTGCGCTAGCTCAGGGAATGTCTCTCGGATTTGCAGGGGCTGTTCCGCACATAAATATTTTCTCAACTTCAATAATATGCTACCACACCCATATTTTACCCAAGTGTGTTTGTCCCCCTTATTTTTTATTTAACGTTGAACACAAATAGCCTTTCTTATTCACTTATTTCTTTCAAGAAGATATAGATATATTTTTTCAAGGTATATTCAAATCAGGTAATAACCAAAACATTTACACTTATTATTAATAACAAATAATGAAAATGTACCTACGTTCACAATGCGCGAACTTATCGGCACTACGACAAAATCTTACCAAGCTATTAAGGTAGTTGAACATCCAGCATTAAGGTGTACACAAACACACACATTATGAACGACCAGGCGGATACCGCCAGCAAGATTGTCTGTCACTGACTGTCCCGGTTCCCTAGTGACAGGTGCTAACATTTAGCGTATCTTTTCAATGGTCAATTTTATATGTACACACGATAGAAAAGGAGGAAGAAATTTACGACTGCGCGTGTGGCTTACCTTCGATCGTGCTCTATAAACAGGCGTGAGCTTGCAAGAGCTCGCCGCGATCTGGACCAGTATCTAGCATGCGCCAAATGCGTCTATGACACGTGTCTACTTCAATTTCCCTCTTTGGAAATTAAATAGACATGTTCTGGGTATGGTCTCACCCAACATAACGGATCAGTGTACACTCTGCTCTCGAGTCGAGTCGGATAGAAGAGTGAGCGCGGTACTCACGACGTAGAGCAGCTCGAGCGCGGCCAGCAGCGCCACGAGCGGCGCGTCGGGCCAGCGCTCCAGCGGCTGCAAGACCAGCGCGGGCCGGCGCGCGCCCGCCGCCAGCGCCCGCGCCACGCCCGCGCGTGCCGCGTCGCGGACGGCGCGCACGTCCTCGTACTCGCCCAGCTCGCCCGTCGGCGCCAGCACCAGGCGCGCGCCCGACACGCGCGGGCAGTGCAGCAGCGCGGCCGAGCGCTCCAGCTCGGCGTCCAGCTGGCGCGCCGCCGCCACGAAGTCCTCCAGCGCCTGCGGCGGCGTCAGGCCGGGCGCCGTCACCAGCACCAGCGCGTCGTACTGCGCGCTGTTCACCTCGCCCACCGCCGCCACGCGCACGCCGTGCACCTCGCGTTCCACGCCCATCTCCGTGTCTCGTACTCCCGCTACGACCTCGATCTGGTTATACTGTAAATAAATAAAAAACTACAATGTATTTGTACCTACCATGTGATTTAATGTGACCTGTCATTTATAACCAAGTAATTTTAATATTTTCTGATGTTATCTATAAATGTATATCAACTATATTTATATGTCAAAGAACCAGAAAAACAATCCTCTTGTACTGGTGTTGCTTATCCAGGCAATTATTAGATTTATACTAATACAACCTTTATTGACAATAAAAAAATAAAAAAGGACATGATAACTCCAGTTATGTTTACATCCCATTGAACAAGGTCACAAGGTAAATGTGCCTACTTTTCACCAGTCATGATGACAACAACTGCCACTAGACCCCATGCTACCTACTTAGAACTTTTCCAAAAACCTTTGTGGGCCTTTCCAGGACCTCTCACTTCTAAGGCCATTGTCTTATTGGTCAATGGCCGGTGGTGGTAGGTAGAAATCGGATCATCATCATCATTGTATGCTACTGAACTTGTAGTAGAAATAAAAAATACTACTAGGTACTTAATCTTACTTTATATATACTCTAAAAGAAGACAACAGAACCACTAGGTACCTGCTGATATCAATATTAACAGATATAAATAGTCATGATTCACTTTGTCCTTATCCAATTGGTAGTTCTAAGTAATTGTGCACAAATTGCCATAAATGTTATTGTAAATCAGATTTCTTAAAGCAGGAAATACAAAATTAATAATGATGCCATTTTACTTATAATCTTAGTACAAAATGATAATACGTAAGCAGCAAGGTGTGGGGAAAGTGAAGTTATTTGCTTACATCTCGAAACGTAGTTGTGACTCGCTGGAGACGGCTACTACGAATAGTACAAGGTGTCGCTGTGGCTAGCAGATAACTCGTGTCTATACGCCCGCACCCCGCTCGTCGGCCGGCTGGCGGCTTCTTATCACTTATGTATCCGTCGCTATATTCATTTATGTACCTATTGATCAAATCACAAACAGTGCCGTAAACAGTGATGAAAATATCACACCATGCAATTTTACTACACAATAACAATTACCGTGTCGGTTTAACAATTACTACTTTACGCCATTGATTCAATTTACAAAAGACAATTGCTTCATTGGTATTAGTTTAGTTAGTGTTTGAACATTGATTTAAATAATATGGGTAGTCAAATACTCCACATTTTAATTGTCAAAAGTAAAAATGTCAAAAATATATCATAGGTACATAGGTCAGCTGACACCATTGAGATAGAAAATATATAGAGGCGCCGTGTTATTTTAGAAGTATATATGCTTATACAAATATGAGTGAAATATGAAACAACTAATGAAACATCGTTTTTTCTCACTCTTTCTAAGGCAATAATTGTATTAGACAAAAGGGACAACAATATTTAAGTTGTTGCTTATTATGGCAACAAATCATTTTGACATTAGCAAAGTTGTAGGTAAGTGCCATGTCCGCCATCTTAAGCGCTCAGAGTACCTGAGTTTCATGGTAGTTGTGCTGTCAAACGGTTGTTTATGTTTTAAATTATTGCGGTTTTCCAGTAAATTACAAAGAACCATTTTTTTAAACTTCAAATATATATAGTGAAACAAAAATACAATATGCCTGTGTGTTGTATTGTGCAGTGTGGTGCAAAAAAGAACGAAAATCAACCTAAATTGTCTTTGCATAGGTTAGTAAACAGTTTTCATCAAATATTACTTAGAATAATCCACATAGATAGAAAAAAATGTTACGGATACTTGAATCTATTGCCAAAGTATATATATTTACTTCTATTTCTGTCTGTGAGACAGTTTTAGTAATAAATTGTTGTTTACAATAATATGTCAATATGGCATAGTTACGTACCATTCCCAAAAAGTATCGATATAATCTCCCATTCAACATATAAGTATTATTATAAATAATCTATTTTAGCAATGGATGTTTCCTCAGTTTTGTGTAAGGCTAAAGTAAGACGTCAGTATTTTGGTTTTGGTTTTAGTTACATAGACAGTAGAAGTTCAAATTATCATGTTTTATAATTATCCGGGCGCGATTGACAGAGTGGCGTTGGCGGCGATCACAGTGCGACCACCAAGCTTAATAATAAAAGTGAGATACATACAGTCAGATTGACTTCACTACTTATCTATTTTGTGCTAACGTAGTTTCGAAGATATCATCGCTTAATCAGAGGAGCCGAAATTGTGCGCGAGCACATCACAAATTCCGACAGGTGTTGCACATACGCAATTAAGGGGCCCCATATTTCGGCGGATAAACATTTGACAAAAACTATCTTTTTCTATTTCACCATTCCATTAAACGCTGTTCATAAACACAGACCTATTTTTTTTAAAAGACGCTTTCCGTAGAATTATATGAATACAAATTCGACTTGAGAAAATCATTAGCCAATCAAGAGACCTAGGTAACCCCGGGTTTCGGGCTCTAACTAGGCCGACGGCAAAGTAGGAACAGGAGTTGATTTTAGTCAGTAACGGTCTGTCACGAAAAGGGCCGGAGATGACATTAGATGATTTCCCATAAAAAATACCGTTAATCAGCTGGCTAATCCCTAAAACTATACCTACGTAGAACTTATACTCAAATTGTATCGATACTCGTTAAATACTTAGTCGGCATAACCCTAGCAACGGCAGCCATCTTATGCGAAATTTTGGATTGTAGGTAGGCACCCTTTTTTTCGTAGGTATTTCAAGTCCATATATTTCCTCGCGAACTCAAGTCTCCTAGGACACAAGGCGACGGCACCCGCCGTTCGACTACGCTGTTTATTCATGGTAATGACGAAAATAAGGATTGCAACGTGCGACAACCATAACAACTTATTGACGAATCCGAAGTCTTTTCGCCTGACGTGCGAAAGGTTCGTGCGGGTATTACCTGTCTACGAAGCTTCCTTATCGCCTCAGCTTACTTCCAAAGGACTAAGCTGTGGTACCTAATTGCGCCTGTCACTCAACCTCGACATTAGCTCTGTTGGGCCCCGTCTGTGGTGGTCTATTGGCTCTTTGAAACGCGCGCAGAATGCTTTGTCTGGTTCTGATCTGGCGGCGACCTCCCTTTGCTTGCAATCTGCCGACTTGCACTTATGGATATCGACAATTATTTTTTAAAAAAGAGTAACGATGGATTTCTTTCTTGTTCTTTTCATTGAAGAACAGACCGTCTGAATATTATTGTATTTGACTGATATAAATTTTATAAAGAATTTAAAAAATCTTTCTTAGTGCTCACCTGCACTATAAAATTGTAGCTTGGCTTTGCGTTAAATAATTTTTAATAACGTAGTGTGCGAGGCGAGTCTGATATTGTCAGATTAACGGATTTAAGACGTCTTACGAGGGTCGTTACAGTAAAAAAAAATATAATTTAATATCACTTTAATAGACTCATTTATTACAGAACATGGAGGACTTACATCTAATATATTATATTCTAGCGCTAGTCCTAGTAGCTATAAACATTGGAGTGTGTGCTTGAAATAAAACATAGAATTGAAATTGATAGTCGTTATCATAATTTTGGATTATCTAATATATTGGCTGGTACTAAGTGGTACTCGACACTCGACTTACAAAAATTATGCTGGAATATTGTTATGAAAATTTCTGCTTGCGCGCATTATTACACATTATTGAAGAACAAGGCGCAAGTAAAGGCGGCATTAAAATGTCAACGAATACTACAGTAATATAATTTATCTCAGTAGAGAACTACTAGGTGTTGACTCGAGTCAACATCTGCCGAGAGTTCGCAGTAGAGGAGCGAGACTCGAGGCATTCTCCTGTATTCAGTTCACGGTAACACGTGGACTGATGGGCAAGAGGAATCTATTATTTCAAACAGACGTTTCTACAACTATAAATCATTTTTAATCATATGGTTCCATATCTGAGACGCACAGCAGGCCAGGAAATTTCTTACTAGATGTAAAAAAATATATTTATTATTTTAACTACATGATCAGCCTGATTCCGTCCACTGCTAGACTTGGCCTCCCCAACTTCACGCTATTGAGCTCGGTATTCAGCTCTTCTCATCCAACTACTGTCAGCCGTCCTGTGGATATCATCAGTCCTAGGTGGAGGGCACTCTACACTGCGATTGGTAAGAGCGAGTAAAATATAGATTATTTTAATAAATAGGTACTCGTGTGTCAAAGCTAATTAACTAACTAATGGATGGCCAAGTCACCGACAGTATTGCGCAAGTACAAGGTCGGCTAACGTATGAGTTACTGGTAAGCACTGCACGGTTTCTCGACCTGATTGAACTTGACATGCATAGTGGCACAAACTATATCATTCGCATAGCATCAGAGCCTGGATGTATGGAGGCGCCCGCCGACGTCCGCTACGTGGATATCAAATAAATAAGGACCGAACGACTGCCGAGGCACAATTAGCCAATTACAAATGTTAATATTGGGTACCCGTGCTGGTGCGAAGACGAAGCGCACCTGCTACTTCAAGTGGTCAGGGTATCATGGTCGCCCCGATCTAATACATAGCATTCGTTGTACAAATATGTTGCAAATGGTGCATCGCCCTTTAAAACCTACAATATCACTCAAAGCGAGCTGAAGAAACATTTTAAATTGTTCCCATTATTCAAATACTTTCGTATCGTATTTATTTAGCACACCACTATAAGGCTAACTCTAAGGCCACAGTACCAGTCGTGTTGTTATATGAGTATTCTATTGGTCTTTCTACTGGAGGTGCCATGCGAGCGGACTCCTTCATGATGTACTGGACTCCATTGCACGCTCCTTACAGCCGTCACAGTCGTCGCAGCCGTCGCAGTCAGCGCAGTCAGCGCAGTCGGGGCCGAGCGCCGCCAGCAGCAGCGTCTGCGTGGGCGCTACGAACACGGCCGGCAGCCGGCACATACCCGGCGCCGCACACGCCAGCCCCCACCCTGTGCATACCGTATTCAAAGCGAGGATCCGCCAATCACCCCCCCCCCCACCGTTTTGCCTGTTTACTCACGAGTATCGAGCGAGCGCGGCAGCGCGCACTGCGCCACCAGCCGCGCCTCGGCCGCCGACAGCAGGCCGGCGCGCCAGTACCCCGCGCACCACGCCGCCGACACCACCACGCAGACCAGTTCTGCAACACGCCCCGCACTCCGTACTCACTTTGTATCCACAGACTCCCTCCTCCCCTCCCAGGGCGGCTACTGACCTAGTAGGAAGGCGGCCAGCACGTCCCCCAGGTACACAATGGCCTCCGCGTCACATAATCGCTCGCAGCACTCCGCATACAGCAGCGCCAGAGCCGCCAGCTGCACGCTGCGCGCCGGCCCCTTGCATTCCGGGCCCCTGCAGCCCGGGCCCCTGCAACCCGGGCCCCTACAGGCCGGTCGCTGGCCGTTCGCCGACACCATCGCGCCCACTGCGAAGGGCGCCGCCACCGTGCACAGCGTGACCACCACGCCCGCCAGCGAAGGCAGAGTCGCGCGTCCACACTGTACGAATGCAGATCTCTATCAATATTTGCCTGATCCCGCAATGTTAGTATTTTATTCAATAAATATATGAATGTATCTATCCATCTATATTTAAACGTATAAATATTATAATCAGCCCGCAAGGCACCATCAAGCGAGGTGAAGTGAATTAGCGATTTCCGCGGGCTACCATCATTCCAATCGCTTTTGGGAGAAGTCTCTGTTCCTCATCCTCGGCTTGCCTCTATTGGCTGGCTAAAGTGAACGCTATCGAGGAACAGGTCTCCCACCTCAAGCTTGCCTTCATTGGCCTTCGAGAAGAGTCCCGAGTGATCCTGCTCTGAGGGTAGAAGCTGTACGTACGCGGCGAGTAGCCCAGTGATGCAGGATGCTTAGGCAGATGCAAATTATCTAAGAAGAAAGGTGGTCACGAATTTTTCACACATCGCGTCTAGTTAGCCTCATCAGGCACCAGCACGCGCCTGCAGTAAAGACACGCAAGCCAGGTCTTCCCCTACGGCCTCAAAAGCGTCTGCACAGGGTTAAAAAGAGGACACCGCCCATTCAACGCAGGCGCCAGCCACAACGCACCTAAACTCGCAGCACCTATTCGATTGCGGCCAATGACGTATTACATATAGACACGTCATGAACCAACATCGCGGCGCTTAAAAACGGCGAAAATACTAGATAACTACTTCTACGAGTAAAGAAAGGGAAAGAAAATATGACATCGTATAGTGGAATACCTTTGCTAGAAGGAGATAAATATACATCTTCAGTTACATCACAGGATAAGTAATAGTAAAACTACATTTTCATAAGATGGCCGCCATAAGATGGCGGGCGCCGGCGTCGAAAAAAATAATATAAAAATAGGTTGTTTGGTGAACTTACGCATGAAATGACACATTTTTGTCTTTAACTTTTGGAGTATAATTTGTACATCGTCTACACACGACGGCATGCTTTCTTTATGTTTCGCACAGGTTTACACACACGATATAAATTAAAAACAAACGTAGCGTCGCGCGGCAGGTTGGTGCGTAACTAAGCGCGATGTGGTAAATTGCCTTCATTTCATGTTGTCATTTTAGAGCGCGGACAACGTATCTATAGTTTTATACATCATTGATTGCGGCGCAATTTCGACAAATCGAAAGTAAGGGCTATCTATAATGGCTTTGGTACCTGGAACCACTAACTTCGAGCTCCAACAGCCGTCTCAATAGTTGCGACCATCGGCAAATGATTTCCCTCACCCAGGGTGGGGCAAGAGTTCCTCCTTCTTGCCCCGCAACCAAGGCTGAACATCAACCCTGTTGAACCTCTTATGTGGAGGTCTGTTGAACCTTTGAGGCGTGCTGCCCTTGCTCGCCCTCCGCAGACCCGCGCTTACGGTTGCCGGAGATCATCAAGCGTTCCCTGACGGCCGGTTATATCATGGCCTCAATTAAGGCCATACGCGAGAGTTCACCGCCTCCGTATGCTTCAGTGTCGTCATTACAATAACAATGGGGGCCTGAGGACCTTCGCAATGAACCGGAATAAGAAAAACTTAACATTATGCAATACTCCTGAATCATCTTACATCTTTCATTTGCTTTCTTGAATAGTGGTGCTATCCGCTATGCTAAATCTAGTGTGAACATAGGTACATAGAATAACTGACAGTCTACGCGGCCTTTTTCTCATAATCTACACTCGCTGTAATTTAAGAAGCTTTCTACTACTTTTAATGAAGCAGTGCAGGCACTGACCAGCAGCCAGGAGTGTAGCGGCTCGGCCAGCAGCGAGGCGGCGTAGAGCGCGGCGCAGCAGGGCCCCGCCCCGCGCGCGCCCAGCGCCGCCGCCAGCCACGCGCAGCCCCCGCCGCGCGACCACAGCATCACGCTGCAACACGCCACGTCAACACCCGCCCCGCCTCACCCCGCCCCGTCGCCCCGTCCCCGCCCCGCTGTGCTCACCCCTGCGTGATCCTGTAGTCCACGCCATCCGTGAATGTACTGACCACTGCGGCCGCCAGCGCAGGCGACACCACGTGCGCGTGCAGCACGCAGGCCGCCTGGGCGCGGCTGGGCCGCACGAGGAGCCAGGCAGGGGCCCCGGCGCGTGGCCCGGCAGGGGCCCCGCCGCGGGGCCCGGCCTGGCTCCGGCCGGCACAGTAGTGCACGTACCCGACCAGCAGCCACGCCGAGTACTCCGCGCGCAGCCCGCCTGTACATGCACCGCTCTATTTCACTATATGTAAGCTGCAATCTAGATAGAGGTGGTGACGTCAAATAGCAAAATATATTAAAAAAGATTATAGATTTTATCATTATCAGCCTATTACTGCTGAGTAACACTTCTCTCACCACAACAGGTGTGTGTGGTGAATATTGCTCAAAGTGAATTAACAATTTCATATTTGTATTATCAGATATAAATTATAAGTTCAGCTTTCCTCACAATGTTGTCATTCACCATGTCTAAAGAAACTTATAAAGTACCAATTAACATTAATAAGATTAACTTCTACTTAGTGTGAAAAATATATAGAAACGACTACAAGTGGAAAACTTCAGTAAACTAAAGTAAATGTTTGCTGTACTATAAGCAGTATCAACCTGAGTTTTGCCAGTCTAACACCTTACGGCAGCAGGATGTACTCAGCCAAGTAGTTGTGCTGCATGTCCTAAGGCATGTGTTACTGGGTTAATGGATCACAGTATGTATGAGGATCAATGTGAGCAGCGCGCACACTGGCAGAAACCAGCAGAGCATGGCCCGGCAGAGACCTGCATAGTGCATGAAGCTGTGGGCTAATGCTAAATTATATTAAAATTAGTTATGCTGCAATGATCCATTTTCTTATGTGTAGCAAATATGACCCAAGATGCAACTACCAGAAATTTTAATAAATTGAAATGATTTTATTATGTTACATTGTACCTAGTAATTTTATTTTTTTAAAGAATGTGAATGTTTATTAAATAAAAAAAATTATACCATGCTATGCATGAATATGTTGTGCTGACTGTGCACCCCAAATTAAGTGCGATTGCTAGCAAACTTGTTGGATTGTGCCTTTCCTTAGACACTAGTGGGTATTAATGTACCATAATGCGGGGTGCACAGCAGTGTCGCCCGCTTGTCGACTTCACCGCGGGCTGCAGCGGAGCTCTACGAGTACAAACGAGCGGCGCACAACAGCGCAGAGAAACCTGATCAAATTATAAAATGTTTAATTACATGGCGGAGTGCAATACGGTGTATGATCTACTGAATGAGCATGCAGTAGTTGCCTCCGGGCGCGCCGAGGCGCGGCGCCAGCACGGCCAGCGTCACGGCGGCCAGCACGCCGCCCGCCAGCCAGCGCCGCCGCAGCGCGCGCCACGCGTCCGCCCGCGACCGCACTCTCATTGCTCGAGGGACTCTTTGCGCCCCATTACTGATCCTTCACTAGGACATGATATAGCGGCCGAAATAGTATTGTACTTGCACTGCTGTTATTCGTTGAACAAATATAATTATTCTTGTTGCCCAATACATATATACAATATTTTAAATTACGCGCATAAATCTTTATGCATTTTACTGCAATGCCACACTTATGTCATTTTTCTTGGTGTTTGGGGCCGCGGAGTTTGTTGACTTATACGTAGCGTTAGGTACTTGACATTGTCATTTGACTTTGACAGTGACATTGGCATAAAATGACACATTTGGGTTAAACCAAAATGTAAAAGCCAGCTGGTTTTCATAATAAAATTACTCATGAGATTAGAAATGCTTTTAAGAAAATAGCTACAGCAAGATTAACGAAATAGATCTAATTTTAGCAAAACAATGAATTTTGATATAGCCCTTTTTTTGTGAGGCGAAAATCATCAAATGACTTCTCCCGCCCAGGGCCGGGCAGGAGGGAGTGTCAGACTCTTACTGACTAAAAACCCCCCTGTTCCTTCTCCTGCTCTGGGCCGAGGTCGCGGTGCCTTATTGCGCTTACCCCGCAACCCCGGCTGAACATCAGCCCTTTAGGGTCCCGTCTGTGGTGGTCTATTGGCTCTTTGAGGCGCGCGCGGAACGCTACGCGTCGTACGCTCGGGACTGGTTCTGGTCGGGCGGCGTACTCGCCGACCGCAGGCCCATGCTTACAATGGCCGGAGATCGTCCCTTGACCCCGACGCTCGTAATGTCGCCAGTTGCGGCTGCTGGGGAGTGAGGAGGAGGATTGCTCCCTCACGCGGGCCGCCTCTCTCTTTGCGAGCATGACTGCTTCACAAAAGGAGGAGACGGCGTCCCAGTTTCTCTCACTCCGCACCATGGCCTCGACTAAGGCCGGGCGCGAGAGGTCGCCGCCGCCGATCACTTCCCTGAGGACACGGCGGTGCTCAGCCCAGGCAGGGCATACCGCCACCGTATGCTCCACCGTAGCCTCTAGGTGGTCCTCGCAATGACGACACTCGCTCGTTTCCTCCCGCTGGATCCGAAACAGGAACCTACCAAAGCTGCCGTGCCCGGTAAGCACCTACGTCAGGCGGAAGGTGAGGACGCCGTGGCGTCTCTCAAGCCACTCCTCAAAGAGGGGTCTTACCGCTGCTATGGTAGCGTGCCCGGCCCTCAGTTGCGACAGTCGTTGTTTCCACTCTGCCATGAGATCTCGCCGGAGCTCATTCCGCCACGCACTAATTTGGCGCGGCAGAGGATCCTCGCCCCGGCGACGCGCGTCTGTGCGCAAACTGTAGACGCGCGCGAGCGCCTTGGCTTCCAGATCCGGTGTGGGTTGCGGTGTGTGCATGAGAGCTCGTGTGTGACTGCAGCCACCACGTTTGCACGGCTGTAGTTAAGTTGGAATAGGTTCTCCCTGTCCAAAAACGGTAGCTGGTTCACGTCCCCGACGAGAACAACCTCGCTTGCACCGGACAGCCTTGCTGCCATTACTAACGGGCCCCGAAGTGGTTCATGAGGGTCTCATCGACTATGATGCGGTGGCATTTGTCATGAGGCCTGAGCCCGTTGGACAGTATCGAGGCCATAGTACGCACCCTTGTTCTTGTGCGTTGTCCTAGGCGGTGCGCCAGCTTTTCCCTCAGGTCTTTGGCTGCTTCGGTTGTTGTGGTGGCCACCACGTCCTCTCCGATCAGCGGGCGACAAGCAGCATCGCACGAATCACCCGTGCTCCGGCCATGCATCCGGCCCGGAGAAGCCTGCGAAGCGGGCGGTGATTCAGGCTAACTTGGAAGAGAGGATCTCTTCCAACGAACAACGTGCGAGAACCACCAGAGCCAAGGCTGGCTACGGCGCCTCCAGCGTCCTCTACGCGGACCACTCCGTAGAGGAAATGGAGCGCATGGCTCTAGAGGATCAGGAGGAGATCTGGGAGGTGGCATCCAAGTCCTCCAATCTGAAAGGGACCTTTCAGAAGGCCCTGTAATGCCGGGCAGCGAGCTTGCTCGGCATCGTTAAGGAGTTGGCGCAGCGCACCACCTCCGATGAGACGCGGCAACTGCAGGCGAAGGTGGATCGCCTGCAGAAAGAGGTGTCGGCGTTGCACGCGCGCGTTGCCGAGCTCATGGCCCGGGCCGAGGGGACATCGGAAGGTCCAGCGCTGATGCCCGCCCCCTCGAACCTTGAGGATATTATCCGCAAGGTAGTAATGGAGGAGAGGGCATTCACCAGGGCCTGCTTCGCGGGCATCGAGGACCGGCTACTTCCGGAGAAGCGGCTTCGCCCTCCACTCGGGGCGGATAAGGTATCCGAGAGGACCCCTAGCGCACCGGGTCCTTCAACGGCCCCAGTCCAGCGGGAGTCCAAGGGCAAGGGAAAGGGTAAGGGGAAGAAGACCACCCCGGCCGCCACGACTGCCCAGACGGTCCCTCAGGACCTTCCGAGAGAGGACCCACTCCTGCCCTCCACCACCCCATCCAACCAGCCTTGGACAAAGGTGGTGCCGAGGAAGCGGAAGGGGAAGAAGAAAGTGGCCCCCAAGCCCCCTGCAGCCAAGCCTGCAGCCGCAGTGGAAAAGAGGAAGAAACTCCCTCTTCCTCCGAAAAGTGCAGCCGTAGTGGTCACGTTGACCCCAGAGGCAGCAGAGCGAGGGGAGACGTACGAGTCCGTGTTGCGGCGGGCTCGTGCCAACGTAGACCCCGCACAACTCGGGGCGGGTAGGGTCACGTGCCGGAAGACCCAAACGGGGGCTCGTATCTTCGAGTTCTCCGGGGCTCAAGGTGGAACCAAGGCGGACCTCTTTGCCTCAAAATTAAGGGAGGCTGTCACGGACACGGCCAAGGTCGTGAGGCCGGTGAAATGTGTGGCTCTTGAGGTTACCGACCTCGACGACACAGTCACCAAAGAAGAGGTGGCAGCCGCGATTGCGGCGGCGGGGGGCTGCGCCGTCGAATCGATCAAGGGACGCGCCATTAGACCAGGCTGCGGGGGTATGGGCACGATGCGTTTGGAGTGTCCCATCGCATGTGCCAAGGCAGTCCTCGCCAAGGGTCGCCTGCCAGTGGGGCTTAGCTCGGGTGGGGTCCGAGCGCTTGAGGACGAGCCGATGCGCTGCTTCAAGTGCTTCGGGATCGGTCACACCCGGGCTCTCTGTCCGTCGTCTGCCGAGCGCAAGGAGCTCTGCTTCCGTTGCGGAAAGGAGGGGCACAGGTCGGCCACCTGCAAGGCTTCTGCTCCGCATTGCGCTGTATGTGCTGCCAATGGTCGTCCAGCTGACCATGTGATGACGGGCAGGAAATGCCGTCCGCCATTGAAGAAGGGCAAAGTGCAGGCGCCGGTGCGACCTGCCACTGCTGCCGCCGCCACTGAAACCCCAGTTCCAGTGCCGGCCTCCGAGGAAAGCGCCATGAACACAGAATAATGGCTGGACATCATCAACGTGTTCTTCAGGCGAACACCAACCACTGCAGAGCGGCCCAGGACCTGCTGGTCCAAACCTTTGCGGAGTGGTTGGTGGACGTGGCGGTTGTCGCCGAGCCGTACTCTGTCCCTGGCAACTGGCTGGGTGACGATAACGGTTCGGTGGCATTGGTAACGCGGTCTTCCACGGACTCCCCACCCCTCTCGCTTTTAGAGAGGGGACCGGGATACGTGGCCGCCGCATGGGGAAACCCGACCACCGATGCACGAGGACGCGAGGTGGAGACCTGGTCCGTCTCATCCGGACTGTCCCTCCTAAATAGAGGCACAGTCCACACCTGCGTGTGGCGGGAGGGGGGCTCCATCGTTGATCTCGCCTTTGCCTCCCCTTCTTTGGCGGCTTGTGTAGTGGACTGGCGGGTGGAGTTCTTGGAGACGTTGTCCGATCACCGATACGTGCGGTTTGACATCTCCACCCAGGACTATCCTGGGGCGCGCGGTGGTCGGTCACACTTCCCGCGGTGGGCGCTTACCCGCCTGGACCGGGAGGCCGCAGCGGAGGCGGCGTTCGTCCAAGACTGGCTGTCGTCTCCTGTCGACGTCCACGATGTGGATGCCACGGCAGTCCAGTTGAGGGACTCCCTGACCGAGGTGTGCAATTCTAGCATGCCCCGGTCTCACCGTCGGCCTCCCCGACGTGCGGTTTACTGGTGGTCGGAGGAGCTGACACGGCTGCGGGCCGCCTGTGTGGCAGCCAGGCGGGCCTATACCAGGAGCCGGCGGCGGCGTAACCGCGACCTCGAAAACGAGGACCGCCTCTACGCGGCCTATAAAGACGCCAAGTCGACGCTGACGGCCCAAATGGGCGCCGCTCAGGATCGTGCGAGGGAGGAGATGGCTGAGGGCCTAGACGCCGATCCCTTTGGGAGGCCGTACAGGGCGGCGCGCAACAAACTGCGCCCGTACGGCCCTCCATTGTCAGAGACCCTCGAGCCGACATTGCTGGATGGGGTGGTCCAGTCCCTGTTTCCGCGCAGGGACATCAACTTCACTCCACCAGTGATGAGCGCTCCCCAGGGTGTGTTCTCACCGACCGAGGAGGACATCCCTCCAGTGACGGAGGATGAGTTCGAGAGGGCGACTCACTGTCTCCGGGGGAAAAAGACGGCTCCAGGTCCGGACGGCGTCCCCGCAAAGGTGGTGGCCATCGCCGCCTCCCAAATGGGGCTAAGATTTCGGGACCTCTTCAGTGCGTGTCTGACGCGTAAGAGGTTCCCGAAGTCACAGAAGGAGGCGGCGGAGCGCATGCGGGAAGAAGATCCTCTCGCAGCGCCGCTCCGCCAGCGAAGAAGGGGCGGACGAAGACGGCGGACACAACGTCCGTCATCACCTGCTCCAGGGGGTGATCTGCGGGCGACAAGCGCGGGGGCGCAATCGCCTGCATCGCACGAATCACCCGTGCTCCGGCCATCTTAAAGGCTCCTCCCCACTAGGGGTGGAATTGAGGGGCCTTCCGTAAGGTGGGCAGTCGCCGTTGGGGGACTGGACGACATGGATTCCCAGACCCCCTCCACTCAGGCGAGGCCGGAGTGCCACTGGGTTTTTTAAATAAAACATTATCCGCAGACATAAGCGTCCGCGCTCTTTTTTACTTCTTTAATAATTTGTTTACATTAATTCTGAATTTTTACAGTATAGGATTTCCTCATGGACGGGAGGACAATTATCTTAAAATTATCTTTAAAAACTAGCGTGAGTTCACATGC